ATGAAATTTGAAAATGAAGGGAAGACATAAATTAAAAGATTAATAATTTTTTTTTAATTTTAAGAAAATATAATAACAACAAAAAGAATGACTTGTTTTTGCGTATACCGAGGAAATGAATGACATTGTAAGTTTTTAAAATAAGAAAAATAAGATTGAATCAAATTAATTTTCTTAATTATTTTAAAAAATTAGAAATTTTCCTTTTTTTTCCGATATAACTAGTGTTGTTAAAAGGCTCTATTTAGCACAATTTTAAATTAAAAGCCAAATATAATATTAAGCAAGCCTAGACATTTTATGTTCCAAACCTTTCGGCCAATGAGCTTTGGGGCGTAATATTTTTTGGCAAAATATTAGTCAGCCCTTTTTTTAAAAATCAAGCCGTTTAACAACACTAATGTAAACTCGAATTTATCGGGATCCAATTAACTTCAATAGGAAGTCATTTTTCTTCAATTTAACTCTTTTTTAATCAATTTTTTTATTATTATTTTTCTCCTTTATTTTTAAAATTTGATTGGTCAAATCCTATATTTTTTTTATACTCTCCTGGCATTGGGGGGGGGGGGTACTGGCTACTTCAACTAAGCCTGACCTCCAATTTGCTTTCAAATTCTTTAATAAAAATGGACTATGAATTTTTTACGCTCACTAACCATAATAAATGGAAAAAACACTTATTTATCATGGGATTTTAAAAAAATGAAAGCGATAATCAACGATATTTTTGGAATTTATTAGATTTTAATATATATAAAACATTTTACAGTGCAAATATTTTTCAAAGTTTCAATTTACGATAAAAAATAAATTTGAACTAAATATGAATTAAAATTTGAGGAATTTTTTTTAGCGGAGCCCTTTGTTAAATATTTGGCAAGACAGCGCTAGCTATGTCTATGCCTATACTAATTTTCTTAACAGCCTGTAATTAATTGATGTAATTTATATTGTGAAATGTCTTAAAGCTCTGTTCATCTGTTTACTTTCTGAAGATCTTAATCAAGGAATCTTGCAGGGATTAATTATGGAGTAATGTAAAAATGTACAAAATTATGGAATGCATGTGTAAAGCCTAAATCTTCTGAAAAGATAAGGGAGATAACAGAAGGTAATGAGCTGAAAGTTCTATGCATATCCCAGGTGAAATATGATAGTATGACTTTACTGTTAAAATATAAATCACATTTAAATTTAGCTGAAACAATTGATTGTCCCATCTTTAAGGAAGCGGATATTGTTTATATTAGGAGGTAGCCCTTTAGCAAATGCATTAGACAAACTACAAGGACAGAGTAGTACATTCTATGGGAAATTTTTGCCCGTACTATTTGTGTTTAAAAGGGAATCAGATAAACTTAAAAAAGTTTACGACATTGTCTACCTTTATTAAAATCCAAGAAAGGTATGGACAAATGTTGGGAAAATTTTTTGCTATTTTGATTTATATAATGAAGCTTTCGGCATCACTATAGCTTCCATATTTTAAGAACTTATGGGCTGAATCGGATAATAAAAAAAAATACTTTCAAAATATATTATAGATATAGAAGCCCTAAATGTAGTAGCAATATTATACAATCAAGCTCAAACTATAACACCTGATTTGACATCTTATAAAGAAAATGATGATTATTTTTGTGTAATAAATGTTGCTGAGTTCAAAAAATACAAATAACATTGAGCTGGAGGTTTTATTATCTTTAAAAGATGGACGAAATACATTAGAAATGCTGAATTATCATCCTTCCATTAAGGAAATTTTTTTAAAATATAATATTGCAATACCTTCATCAGCTCCATTTGAAAGGTTATTCAGTTTTGGTACAATGTTGAATATGCCGAAACGGCAAAGGCTTAATGATAAATTATATTTAAAAATTGATTATCTTAAAAAATAATAATTTGATTTAATCAATTTTAAATACACTTTTGCAGATTAATATTTCAGCGTTCTTTAATGGGCTAAAACCAATAATAAATAATTATAATTAACTCGTCATTAAATATTTTATTAATTACTTATTATATGCGAATTTATTGTTCTTCACCAATAAATAATAAAAATTGTATTTTATTCTTGACTATTCAAATTTAATTGGTAATGATAATTCTATAAAGTGTCATGTATTTAGGATATCATACATCCTATATCTTTTTGATATTTTGGATAAGATACTAGTATCTATATCTAATACCCATTTTTTTTATAAAAAATGTATCTGTATCTAGATTCTTTTTCCGGAGTGCCTGATATACGTGATATATATAACTACTTTTTATAAAATATATTAAGGATTTTTAATTATCTTATTCCACACTTGACATACTCCTTAAACTGGAGGACATCTTTACACTTCTTCCATCACACAAGTCCTTTTTTTTGCTAAAAAATTTCTTTTTTATACCAAGAATTCTTTACGCACTTCGGTCAACACCAATTTTTAAATAGCCTATTCCTCTCCAAACTTACGAAAAAGGAATAAAGGACTTAACCGAAAAAATAGTAAATATCAAATTCAACGAAACCGCTTGGGCCCAAGCAACTCTTCCAACCAAATTAAGTGGTCTCGGCATCAGATCTCCACTTGACTTAGCAACAATTACTTTCATATCGAGTAGTCTCTTGACAAAGCCAATAACCACCGCCCATAATTCTAAAGAAGACCTTTCCTTAATCGTGGCTATGGATATTTGGAAAACAAGGATCAATGCTGATTCTCATCCCCCCACAACCCATAAACAGAAAGACTGGGATGCACCAGTGGTTGCTCGCTGCGTTGAAACTCTCTTATCTAGCATGCAACGACCGCATTCTCTTCCTTGCTCAATGGTACGGGACATGAGTTTCTTGAGGCCATCCCATCTACCAATCTTCAGCTTCAACTATCCAACAATGAATTTACCCATGCCATCGGCATTGGTCTAAATTGTTCCATCACTCACCCCCACATCTGCTCAGGGTGCAACTCGCCAGTTGACTCGAAGGGTAGACATAGTTTACATTGTCGTTCCTGCAATGGACGATTCATCGGACACAAGCAATGTAATACAATCATCCAACATGCTCTGAAATCCGCCCAAATTCCTTCCACGTTAGAACCACAGGGTCTTTTTAGATCTGACGGTAAACGTCCTGATGGGATCTCTCAAATCCCATGGAGGAGAGGCCAACTTTTGGTATGGGACTATTCCTGTATTGACCCCTTGGCCCCATCCAACCACGCCATCAACATCCTTGACCAGAAGGAACAACTTAAAATTTCTAAATACATAGAAATAATAAACGATCATTGCTTCATCCCAATCATATCAACCACTCTTGGCACCTTCGGCAAACTCGCCTTAGCATTTTTCAAAAACTTAGGATCACAAATCAGCAAACTCTCAGAAGAACCTCGAGAGGGTTTTTTTCTTCGTCAACGATTATCCATAGCGATTCACAAAGCTAATTATATCAGTTTCAATGGTAGCCTTCTAGCCAAAGAGCTATCATAGACAACGCTTACGTCCCTTTTTCATTTTTGTTTACCTGCGTCACACCATCTCCGTTCTTTTTTTTAAATAGTATTATTATATATTTTTCAAACATTTTTAAATATATTAAAATTTATTATAATGAAAATTTAAATTATTATAAAAAAAAAAATAAAATTTTTAATAATTAAAAAAAAAAAAAAAAAAATTAAATATATTAATAAATTTTATTTAAAAAACATCATTTACTTACATAATCTTTTTTTTTAAAAACCAAAATTTATCAGCAGTTTTATTTTTCCATGAAATTGTTAGGCAAATAAAAAAAACTTGCTTAAAGAGATAGGATCCTAAATTAAAATTTATCGACTAACTTTTCTTCAGAAAAATAGTGGGAATCATCTATTCCTCGGCTGAAGTATTTAGTGTTGTTAAATCACCTAACTTTAACCAATTCCAAAATGACTCTGTCAAGTTTTTATCCTAAAGAATTTGTTCCAATATTTAAATTTACTTAGACAGTCTATTTTTTAGGTTAAAAGCCTGGCTAAGCTTTATTGGAATTGAGTTATGGGACATAACAACACTAAGCATATTATAGCAGATTGGCATTTCACACATGTCTAGTCAGCTAAATTTTAGCGTTTAAAATCATGTCTGTAAGAAAATTAAATGAATCCGGCATTCATATTAATTAAAATTTTGCACTTTATTAAATGCTAAAAATGGCACTGGCCGAATTTGAGGAAATAGTAGCAAAATTATTATCTAATATACAAATCTGGGGAAACAAAACATCTGATCATAAGCGTAGAGAATTCTATCATGGGGGTTGAGTATAACGCAAGATCTATTGAAATTAAGGGGAGACAGAGGTGGGGTGGAGGGTTATTAATTTTGTGAGCGGGGTAGGGGTAAGAGATTAGGGGTAAGAAGGTGAAAAGTCAGATTTTTTTTAAAAAATAGTTAGATATTTCCTAATAAGATAATTAATTAATTAATTAGTAATTTTTTTGTCCAATTAATATCATAAATATTTTATTTTAATAAAAGTTTTATAAAAATTTTAAGATACTATTTTAAAAAAAAATAAATATTTAAATCAAACGTGACCGAATATTTTTTGGTATGGGCTATATAAGGGGTCCACAAATCAGTTAAAAGACTTATTAAACGATTACACTAAAGTTATAGTTTGAAAAGAATAAATTTTAACCCCCGGAGCTTTGAATAGAAATTTTGATCGATTTTAGAATATTAGTAATTAAAATTATTGTTATGAGATTTTGAAACCAATCATATATCTTCTCTTTTTTTAAAAAAAAATAAAATAAATTAAATAAATAGTAATTAACTACATAAACTATTCTTCAAAATGTTAGATCGCAAATATAGATATAATATAGAGGTAGTTATAATATGAATATATTTATATTTTTTTTCTAGATGAGTTTCATTTAATTTGATTTAGATCTATAGTATTTTTATTTTCTTCTTTGAAATTGAATTTTTGTGGGCATTAAAGTGAAAGAAGTATTGCTTTAAAAACACCTAAAATATATTTAATTATTATTTTTTTAAATGTACATTTTTGCACCGAAAAAACCTTTTTCAAAAAGATTAATATTTCTATCTAGATAATTCTAAATCAGGTACTATGATCTTTCGAAGGTTTCCTGAAACTGAGATACAGTTTTGTACAACGAGATGCTTCCCTTGCAAGTCTTGAACTTGAAATCTTCTATAAAATTAAGGGCCGACACCATTTTAGATATCAAATTTTCGAAATGAGCAACAAAAACGTAAGAGAAAACTATGTCCTGTTTATGTAAAAGGTCCTCCTTTATTCCACCCACTTCTGACCTCCGTGGTTCGGGACGATGAATGTCGAATGAAAGGTTTGAAACCGGAGCGCATTGGCTTTTCTTATAAAAATCGATGATACTTTGGCTCAAATGTAACGCGTCAAATATCGAATCTTGAAAAGGGTCGTCCACGTTTAAAGGAACCATCGAATGTGTACTCTCCGTCGATGGCTCATTCGAAGTAACGAAAGAGTGTACAGGTTTAATTGTGTCCGCAGTTTTTTCTTCCTCCGTCATATCTTGTAAAATTTGTTGATTGTTGCGGCACTTTTGGATGTTTCTAAACAAGAGCATCTCCCTCAATTTAAAGGTCTTCGGGGAGATATTGTTTAACAAAACCGCGCCGCTCCAGTTTGTCCATATAGACTCTAACGTTTCTATATTCGTGTCAGGTAAAACCTGGAAACCACTTATTATGAAAGCGGAAGACGTCTGTCCAATTAAGTTAGTGTTCGCCGAGAAGAAGTTGCGAGATTTGTATTGGGAATACGCGCTATCGAGAATTCTATTTGGGTTATTAACTGAATCAGTAGCAAGACATCGATCTTCATTATTTTTAGTCGAAATATCTCGTTGCTTACTGGCATCGATAACATCGTTACTTTGGCTAAACTTTGAAACGGGCAAAATTGAATCGTTTATTTTTGGAGGATCCTTTAGATCAATAGCTGGGATGCTGGGTAAAGGTAAATGGTTATTAAAATTGATGACATCGTCGTTCGTAGCATAATTATTATTGATTGCAATATTCGCCATGTTTGGGGTTTTATAAAGATCGGGTTGGTAAAACAAAATTGGTCTGGGCATGTAGGAAGATGGGTATGGAACCATGGAAATATTTTCATTCGTAATGCCTCGAGTTCCACTTTCGAAGACATCATTCAAAATGTCGGTATTGTAAATAGATTTCTCACTTTCATGAGGCATTTTTTCATAAGCGTTAAAAAGGTATTTTTCACCAAAATTATTATTATTATTATTATTCACATCAGGTTTGTAATTTATTTCGGGCTCAAACGGGTCGTGGCCTTTATTTTGTTTCCAGTGTTCATATAAGTGATCATGTTCCGCCTGTTTATCGTCCGTCATCTTTTTTTCCAATCGGGTTCTTAATTCGTCGATAATGCGCTTATAATTTTGCTTATCCATTAATAGGCTAAGCCCATTTATATCTCCTTTCGTCAACATATGATTATAATTTTTCCACTCGATGTTGGATGGGGTTATTTCTTTATTCCTAATGGCGCTCAATTGTCCAGAGGTGTCAAAAGAGTTGTCATTTGATTCAAGATCATGGTTAACGCTTTGAAAGGGAAGTGAATGCGATTTTTTATTGCGTGCTACGGCAGGATTTGAGGCGTCAATGGGTAAAGTTTTATCTAAAAATTCGGAATGTTCACTGTTATGTCTCAGTAAATAAGGTTTATTCATCCTCCTGTCTACGTCAATCTTTTTGAAAGAGTCGCCCAGTGTCATCACATCGTCAGATATATCATTAGATGCATCATACGGTGAATTTACGATTTCCCTCGAATTCTTATTATCAGGAGTTGTTGCGACACCTATATTTACATTCACTTCGTTTTTAGATTTTGAACGATTTGATTTCGATTTCTTTTTGATACCAGTTTGGACTAATGCCGTTATTTTACGGGTATCTACCGGAGCGGCGCAATTGAGGGGTGTAATGTTATCATCGCAACTCCTCGATTTGCCATCCAGTTTGATGGATTTGTTGCGTGAAAATTTGTTCTTGTCCAATACCCACGACTTAATCAAGCGATAACCTTATTTTATTTTATTTTTTTTTAAAGTGAATAATTTTAATATTATAATAAATTACTTTATAGTATATTTTATCACCGGAGTCCTGTAGAGATCTCATCCAGTGTTGTTAAAGAACGGCTCAATTCGAGCCTATTTCTAAAAACGGCTAACTCAATATTTTAGCTAGAAAAGAGATTTCGCTAATAGAACATTTGTTGCCATCTATGATTAAAATATCGTTTAATGGTTTCAAAAAAAAGCTGTGGAAGCGAATGAATGCTTAAATGATCCCATCGCGTGATCTTTTCAAACTGGTTAATTGATAAATTCTAAACTTATTTTTAAAAAATAAATTTGTCAGGGCCGGCTTTATTAGAAAATTCTAGAACCCATTTCGGTCCGGATATTTTTTTCAAATTCAACTATTTTCAGCTGAGGCATAGAGTGTTCCGCGTATAATTTTAAAAATTTGTCTAGAATTTAATCTTAGGAAAAACCAATAAAAAGTAGGGAGGGACTCCGATGCCTTAACAAATAAATTCATCTTCTACCACCCCCCCCCCCCCCCAATTCCTTTTGAAAAAAAAAGCTTTAATAATCAATATTATACTTTTCTTCAGTGTATATTATTATTTAGTTTACCATTCATTTTAGAAGCTCATTTTCTTATTATAAATATGTTGCCTTATAATATAGAGCCTAATTAAATTAACAACATTACATTATTAACCATTTTAAAAAATATTGTCATATCATTATTCATAAGTTTCAAAAAACACCTTAAGTAAATCTGTAAAGAGATGATTTTTTTTTATATACGAAAATAAACAACTATTGGAAATAAGTTTAAATTATTATTATTTTTTTTTTACTGTTAGAAGCTGGCGCGACATTAGTGTCTCTAGAGAATTTGACGTAATCGAAGGTAGCTTACAATATTATTATATAAAATGTTTAATAATATTAGACAATTTTATTCTATCTTTTAATAACTCGAGTTTAATATGAGATTAGATTAGATTAGGTGGAATGATAATATAAATAAAATATAACAATAAGTATGATATGTGTGTATAGCAGAATTGTCAAATACAGATAAAAAAATTTTTTTAAATTTCTTCATGCTAATAAAAGTATCCGTATTATAGATACATTTTTAAATGTATCCAAGGTTGATTGTATAACGAATGCTTGTATTTATACTTATTATTTCAAATAAACACAAATACTTTTAGTTCTCTTATATTATTATTCTAAATTAAATTATAAATGTAGAATCGACCATTTATTTCTTTAAATATTAAATTTGTATCAAGATTTTATCAGTTTCATCCTATTTTATTAAAATGAACAACATTCATACCGACAATTAAAATTGAAAATTAATTTTTTTAATGAAGATGATATTTGATTCAATTCACATCAATTTTGGCATTATGCAGATTTTATATGCAGACAATGTATCTGCATATCGATACATTTGAAAAATATCTGTTAAAAATTTAGTGTATAGAGAGAAAATTCTGAAAATCCTTGCTTTTTACCTTAGACGATAAATGGGTCTGATGAGAAAAATTTAAGTTTTTATATTCTAAAAAAAATTTTGTATTATAATATCACAATCTTTCACATCTACTTTTCCTATCTTTCCCTTCTATTTAGTCTTTCTTTCATTCATATGCACACGACATTGAATATACTGGTTAATGTATTATTTTTTAAAAATTAATGATAAAATTACAGTATAAAAACCTATAAATAAGCTCTTCCCGATATTATTTTGTCCGCTACATATAATGAATAATGACTATTACTAGGTTTAAGAAAAAGTTTGTTGCCTCTTCAATAGATTATTACTAGTGATGTTAAGGTAACTAGTTACTGTAACTTAAAAAATAACTGTAACTAGTTATATTTTTAAAATTATAACTAGTAACTGTAACTAGTTATAATTTTTGAAATGTAACTGCCAAAAGTAACTAGTTACTTTTAAAGATATATTCAAATAATTAATTTTATTTTTAATATGTTGTGATAAATTAATTTTAAATTAAATTTATTTTTTAAATTAAATTTATTAATTTAAAATTTTGTGAAAATGTCTGATTGTTATAATTTCCCGTTCAAATTGATTTTCTTAACTTAAATTGTTACATTCCTGCTGGGCTTCATAATTTTGTAAGCAAAAAGTAATTTAATAAATTTTAATATTATATTTATTTACAAATGTAGCACAATATATTTTTTTCCGTCAAGTAACAAGCATTGGAACTTCATATCATACGTAATAAAAAAAATTTTAAATTTAGTATAAGGAAAAACAAAGACAGATTATTTTAGAATTTAATATTAAATTATTAATCATTACTTACAAGAACCAAGTCTAACAAAAATATCATGTTATAGGTTTAATAATCTTTATGATAATGACAACATCATTGCTGCAATTCTTCGCCCTTTATTTAAAACTGACTGGCCTTGGATTAGGCAAGAAAGGAATAAAGCAAAAAAAGGAGGAAATTTTATAATTTAATAAATACCTTAATACCTCAAAGTGAATCCCAGACGAATGAATCATGTTCAAAACCAACATCACTTGATGTAGTTGGATTTTTTGACCTAATGCGCCAAAATATTCTGGATAATGAACTTATAGAAAACATCAAATTTAATAACAACACTTATTCTTTATATAACGATTTTCCAAAGTTAAAATTACTCTTTATTAAATATAATGTTGTTCTAACATCAAGTGCTCCCGTAGAGCGCTTGTTCAGTCTAGGTAAGCTCATTTTTGGAGATAAACGAGCACGTCTCCTAGATAATAACTTTGAAATTAATTGTTGTTAAAAGCAAATAAACATTTATTAGATTCTAATTTTTATGAAAAATAAATGTTTTTTTTTCAATGCAAATATATATTTTTATATTCGATGTAAATATTCAATTTTGCGAAATTTTTTTATATAAATAAATTGTATATTATTTTAAATAACTGATTATACTTTGTTTATCCTAATTTTTTTTATATTAAATAAATGCATTCAATAAATAAATAATGCGCATATGAATGATGTATAAAGTAAGTAACTAGTTACTTTTGAAAATAACTGTAACTAATAACTAGTTACTTTTGTAAAAATGTAACTAGTAACTGTAACTAGTTATGTTTTTGCCAATGTAACTAGTAACTGTAACTAGTTATGTTTCAAAAGTAACTTTTAACATCACTAATTATTACCTTAAAATTTGGTTCATTATAATTAAAAATAACAATATACTGAAGATTACTGTGACTATAAATAAGAGAGCATCTATTAAACTTATAATCATACTTGTAAAATATATTATTATCGTGTCAAATATAATATATATGTCATATTGGCAGAGTTGTTAAAAGATACTTTTTAAATGGATCTAGATACAGATACATCGTCTAAAATAATATCTAAATACAGATATTTTAATCAAAAATCTATCTAGATACACATACAGATACCACATTTTTATATCTAGATACAGGATCTAAATACTTGTATCTAGATCCTTTAACAACTCTGCATATTGGTATATGGAATCCATGATGATTCGTAATCTCTCAATTTTGAATCATTTACTAAGGGCGAATTTTAATGATTTGACAGGAATTATATTTCAGCATGTATAGACTATACCCAAAACTCTAAATTTTAAACAGCTTTGCCATGAACTTTAGAACTACTCCTAGTTTTAAATTAATTTTTTAAATAGATTTTTCATATAAATTATTTTTTTAAAAATACTAAAATGTCTAGGGCGGAAATTGACTGAAATTTATAGGGTAAATACTCTACACATGCTACAATATATTTCCGGATAAATCGGATTTTGAATTTTTTAAGTCGCCCTCGCTCGGCAAAGGGTTTAAAATCGAGAGATTCCGAATCCCCAATGATTCCATATCCCATTATGACATATATGTGTAAGTATATTCATTAATTTTCCATCTTTAAAATTTGAATATTTTTCATTTATTCTGGCAACATTCCATATGGGCAACTGTGGATTGCATTGCCTGCTTCCTTAGTATCAAATCATAAATATGATCATAACAAATTGTTGCATTCCCTAATTTTTCCAAAATATCTGCATTTTTGCTTTAAAGTTTTATAAATTTCAAAAAAATTGAATTATTTTTTATATTATTATTTTAACAAAATCGGGCAAGGTTACAATGCTGTTTCCTAAAATATTTGCCGATCTTCAAGACAAGAATTTAGATTTGTTAAAAAAACGAAATCAGTCTTTAGAATTAGAACATGTTTTATGTCATTCTAGTCTCCATTTTGGTATACTGATTAAATTTAATTTTTTTAAAAAAAAAAATTATATAATTATCGATTTTTCTGACCTCTTTGCTGCCACCTTTTGTGTCACCTTTAGGGGAATGCCTAACTAAGATACTAAGATAAGCCGTATGAACAACGGTGGCGGATAAATATAAAGAAAATAAAATTATGAACGGACGCTCGCGGTGCCGAAACCCGCCCATCATAGCCTTCCATTATATATTAAACTAAGCTATTATTCGCAATATCATTAACGCAATTAGCGATTATAATTATATCCCCCTCTATTATTATGTTTATTACATTAGTGACTCCATTTGGCTTTTGGCTATTTTTAATCGATGATTTTTAAAATTATTACCTTTTTTTGTTCTTACAGTTAAGGATACGTAGTTGAAATCCCTAACTGAACCCTTCTTTATTCATTCCATTATATATAGCTTATTATAGGGTTTAAAAAAAAATAAAATGAAATAATTGTCTTGGGTTATTTGACTTTTTAGCGAAAGCAAATAAGAGAATAGGAGCTTAAAAGGAAAAGTCCAATCGATTCTGCCCCATTCCATTCCTCGTATTCCATCAATCCAATAAACCCCAGAAACACAACAATTTTTTTTGAACACTTTGTAAATTACTTTGAAATTTTCATTCATTTTATACTTTCATAAAAAAATATCCCTACTTTTTAGATAGTTTATACTTAGGTTGTGCCAATATTAAATATCAAATCGGTTCTGGCCAATATATATATATATATATAGGTTAAAAATATCGGACTAGCCAATATTTAAAAAAAACCGATCCGATATTATCATTATTTTGGGTTATTTTATGGATTTGTTATTACTATAATTTGGTAATATTTTTTAATTTTTTATAATTTACCTAGTAATAAATGAATAAATCGGTGAGCTATAAAGTAACGTCGTTACTAATGGCGTTACCTTTTTTGAGGAAAAAAAATATGCCATTCGTTACTTGTTTCAAAAGGTAAAACAAGTAATGCGTTTATTTATTTTTTAAAAATTTATTCTTGAAAAAAAAAGGAAATATATTTTATTTTAAATTTTATAAATAATTTAAGCCGAGTTTTTAATTCAGATCAACCACCAAAGTTCTTCATGTATACCTGATCAAAATTTTGAAAATTAATTGTTATTAGAAATAAATAAAAATATTACAAAAAAAGAATTTGTAAAAATTTATGATATTTTGGATCATTTTATTTTTATTATCTATGAAGGGCGGGGGGGGGGGTGAATAAGTAAAAGAATAATTTATATATAATATTTAGTGTTTTTTTAAGTAACTAGTAACGCATCTTTTTTTTGAATAGTAACGGGTTTCTTTTTCATAAGGTAACGAGTAACTGTAACGCGTTCCTATTTTCAAAGGTAACGAGTAACGCGTTTTTTTTTGAAATAACATTTACAACATTAATAAATAGAAGGTTAATATAAATCAATTTAAATCATCGGATCCCTGATATCAGTTATCGGATTTGTAAGTTGTCGAGTAGGTATCAGTTATCGGATCGGTTTTGTATAAATATCATCATAAAATATCGGATGGGTGAAAAAAAAATTGGATCAGCCAGCAACAGCTTAAGTTTATCTTATTATACTCAATCAAAAAAAAAAAAATTTTTCGTTTTATAATATATACTAATAAAATAGTTAAATGCATATTCATATTATTATAATAATCTTACTTTCTAGTAAATTGCAAAATAAAAAAGAGAAATTCAATTTATATATTGTTTATACTCTTTGAAAATATAAATTACTTTTTTTTAAAATAAAAAGATTATAATATTAATGATATCGAATTCAGATATAATAAAGGATTAGTATTAGTTAATAAATAAGCAAACGAAAATGCGTATTATCTAATATGATTCCCGATAAAAAAAATATTATTTTACAAAAAATAAAGGAAAAAAAATAATATATATTATATCTTATTATAAAACGTTTCAAATTATCTTACACGAATCAAAAGCAATATATATATATAGTGGTCGATTATATTATATTAGGGCAAGCCTAAAGATTTCTACTCATAGATGATACTAGACATCTATTAGCGGATGCTTAATTTCTGGGATATTGTCCTGAAATTTATAGGGTAAATATTCCGCGCGTGGTGGAATGCATTTCTCAGGTTACTCAGTAAACAATTTTAAATTGAGTTTAATCGCGAATTCCTATAAATTCCATACCCCAATACGAAATATTATCACTATTTGATTATTTTAATTTTTTTCCATCTAAAACTTTACTTTATACATTATATATATATATCACATAGTATAAATTTTTTTATTATTATATGTTAGCGGCAATGTGTTATTTTTTCAATTTTAAATCATTCTTTGAGCGCGTCTTTCAAAATTTAAAAATCTGATCTTACCGGTAATGTATATTTCAGCATGTTTAGAAGACCAACCCTATGAATTTCAGACAATTTTGCCATGAACTCGAACTTAATATTATTTATATTGTTTTTACAATTGTAAATGACTCAAAGTTTACCTGCAAAAGTTGAAAAAATAAGGAATTGCCAGAAAAACCATTGCCGCGGCTAACACACACATATATATATCAAATTTAATTGAAAGATATCGACGGTATCCCCCACCCCCCTTCCTTCAATTGCATTAATTTTTGCAAAATAATTCAAAAACTATGATAATTTACCAGAGTTGTTAAAAGATACTTTTTAAATGGATCTAGATACAGATACAACGTCTAAGATAATATCTAGATACAGATTATTTAATCAAAAATCTATCTAGATACAGATACCATATTTTTATATCTATATACAGGATCTAGATACTTGTATCTAGACCCTTTAACAACTCTGTAATTTACCATCGAAATTTAAAATGTTTAGCCACATCATTTTTAATTTATCATATTTGTGACTTGTAAATATCCAATTTACTAGTAAGGATATTAAAATATTGTTCTATGTACAAACAATTTGTTCAAAAATCAAAATTTCAGAAAATAATTTCTAGTTCCGGTTCTTAGATTCGACTCGGTTACCGTGGTTCCATGTTCCGGCTCTTTTTTAAAAAATTAAAAAATTTTCAAATACTTTTACATGAATTACCCCGGGCCAGCCCCGAAATTTAATATCGGGGTTTCGGGTTAGGCTTCTAATTATTTTTACCTAGAAAAAAAAAATATTTTGTTCAAGTTGTCGGGCCCGGCAAAACAACGTAAATTTGTACAATTATCAACTTTAAAAGTGTTTCAAAACTTCGGACAGCACGTAAAAATGTCTTGAACAAGTTTTCCGGATCGGTCCAAAAATCATTTTTTCTGACTAGGGTGTTTTGAAACAATATACAAATAAATTAGTTGCACCCCGTGAATATCATTTTCGCTAGTTAAAATTTCCCTCCTACACCCCCCCCCCCTACTCTTCAATCTATCCCCTTCTCCCCCCCCCCTCCACAAACAATAATTTGAAAGAAAAATAAGTAAAAGTTATAATAATTTTTTTTTTTTAATAATTACTATAATTCAAAATTTTTAGGAGAGAAAAAAAGGTGTGAATTATTAAAATAATTACATAAAAAATGTAAAAGCCAAAGGCCTGCAATTTAGGTAAGCCAATGAGTTACACTTGGTTTTTTTGAAGAAGTAGAATAAGTTCCAGTTATGATTACTATAAATTTTTAAAAGTAGTTACTGGTTTCCTTGATTTGTCCCAACTCTTAGAATTCCAAAGATCAAGGTTGGCTCTTTGGTTCAAAAAGGACCCGAAAGCTATTGGGTTCTAATTGGACCCAAATCAAAAGAGACAGGACTGAATGCCCTCAAAGACTTTTACCTGAGATAGGTCCTTTTTAGAAAAGAAAAGTAATATTAAGATAATATTAATGAATAAAATTGATCTTACGACTTTCTTCCAGACTTTCCATCATGATAAAGGCCACTGGGTGGCTTGATTCCATCTACGAACTTGGCCGCCTCCAATTTTTCCTTATACTATTTTTTTTGTCCCATTTATCAAAATATTAATAATGTTGCGATTTTTTATTACTTCCTTGCCAATATATTAGGTTTTTTTTTCAAATAAGATCGCAAAATTATAAGGGTGGTGATAAATAAATTTTTAGCCATAAAACACTTTAAAAAAATATTTTTTTTATCCTTTTTACTATAATTAAAATTATCATTATTTATTTTAATTAAAATATTAAAAATATCTATGTCAAACAAAAAATATTTATAAATAATATTATAATTTTATATAATATTCTAATCGATAATAATAATAATAATAAAAAATTTAGATTTTTTTTATATTTTAAACAAAAATTTTAGATTTCGGTGAAAGAATAAAAAAAGAAGATTACTATAAAATTATCTATTGATATAAAATCAATAAATAATTATAAGAACTACTTTGTGTACACGGAAAAAGGCATGTTCTAAAACAAAAAACATAACCCAATTTTTTTTATTATATAATAAATTATAAATTATAAATTATAAGTGTTAAAAAATAATATACCGATATCCATTTGACTTCTTACTTAGATAGACTTTATAATAATATTAAACAATTTTTAAAAATAATTTTTGATATAATTCATATTAAAAAAATAAACATTTATCGGGTTATTAATTTCCTTGGAAAAAATTCTCGAAATTTTGCTAAAGATACTCAATTCAATATAATTTTATTGTTATAATAATTAAATTATAAAAAATATATATTTCGCAGTTCTTTATTTCTTTCCATTTTTATATGAAACGCTTTTTATATGAAAGTTACATCAACCGTGGTGAAATATGGAATTATTTTGAATTTAATAATTCTACAATAAATATGAATATTAAATTTTTTTAAGTTTTAAATTATTTTCAAGGGTAAAAATAAAAAAAATGATTTTTTTAAAACCATATTCATAAATATTACCATCTAAATTTATATTATTCACAAAATAAAAGTTTGTTAATAAGGGACAAATGGTCGATAATCATTTACTATAATTGCGAATTTTTGTGTTTGTATGCTATAAAGTTATTTTGAATAGTATAATGTCCAAAAAGAATATTTAATTTTATAATTTATAAACACTGCAAATTAGCCTATATAAAAAAAATTAACATTTTCCTCGTTAATTTAAATATATATTATAACCGATTATTTTTAAATCAATAGGATGCCATTATAGTTCAGTAGTACGTTGACTATTTAACCTTCAGAAGCACTGGTTGCATATCCGATCTAAATTGTCGTAAAGAGGAAGATAACTTTATGATGCTCCAATATGATAAAGCAGGAGATTAGGCATTTTTTCCGTGCCACACGCATGTATAGTATACTTTAGTTGGCAAAAATATGATATTCTCTGACCGATTGAAATACATAAAATTTGATATATAAGAAATAAAATAGGAAGCTCTAAGGAATGATCGTTAGGAGATGATAATAGCATAAAATGTTATTTTATATTATAAAAGTCACAGAAATGTTGTTAGTGTGAAAAAAATATCAGAAGATATATATAAATAGTAAGACATTAAGATAATGACGATTGTACCTTATAAATGGTGTCGGAATATATCTCGGAGATTATGGCACATAATTAAATTGATTAGAAAGTGGAAAGAAAAAGGTTTCGGCAAAAATGAGAAAGTTTTATTGATGCCTGATTCCTTAAATAAGATAAGCAGTGGCTGCTGATTTGAATGCATCATATAGATATAGTTAAACAGGGGATACTTATGGGGATGGGAGTTGAGCTATCTTAGGTATATGATTTAGCAATTAGAAATATCAGGTATAAGAGTGGTAATTTAAAATTCAGAGATTTTTTTTTAAAAATTTAGTAGATAAGTTTTCGATTAATAATAACGGGTTTCAAATAGGCTAAAAACAGAAACCCACTTTTGGTAAACTTGATTTTCAAAAGGAAATTTGAGGCCTGTACACGAAGCATTTCCCACAGTTAAGTTTAGGAAAAGCCATAAAGAGGGATGGAATTTGGTTGAAAGTGAGATTGTAAGAAACGAAAATGGTATACTCTAAAAAGATTATGGCAAACATAAGGTGAGGAATATATGGTAAGTGGAATATGGATATTCAGCGTATTAGTGTTGTTAAGAGACCCGATTTTGGTCGATAATTTATTAAGATTTTCGCCCAAAATAATATTGTGTAAGCCTGGAGACTTTACTGGTAGTTAGGAGAAAGGTTGACATTAAATCTCGATGGTTACATGATATTTAAAAAAATCGACCCAAATAGAGTCTTTTAAACAACACCATTATATGATATGTTTTTTCTTTGTTCATACCATATGCTTTCTTACTCTGCTCAAATGGCCGAACTTTTTTTATAAAAATAACCTATAATATTACATCTTTTTAACCAGTACCAACGTTACAATGGTCCGATATATTTTTTGTTAATTTTTTGACCAGACCCGATTGTTATTTTTTGTCATAATTTTTGGACTTGTTATTATCCGTCAATAGTTTCATAAAAGAAATTAAAAATATGCACATTTTAAATGGATAATTAAACGATCCATCATATGATTTTAACATTTTTTTTTTTAAAAAAAATAAATTATATTAATTGATTGTTGATGACCCCATTTGGGATCCGATTGATATAAAAATGATTTCCGTTCGCTTTCGATTTTCCGAGCATCTATTGGAAGAGGAGATGTGAGGCCCTATTGGCCAGGCCCAAATCGTGTCATTTTTAAATTAATATTTTTTTTAAAAAAAAATCGATCTGCCACCATTTTTTATTTCTTTAAAAAAAAATTTTTTTTTTCAACATCACTGATTTTTTTAAAAATTATTCTTTTTTTTTTGCCACTGCCCGGAAATATATCCGAATACTCCCCCAGGAATGAAATTTTTTTTCTCTAAGATTAGTTAAAGAAATGCACCATGTCTTAATCGTAAAATCGATTGATCAAAATAATTAAATATATTAATGTGTATTTTTTGTCATAATTCCTAAACTATTGATTTATAATATTTATTATGCGTTAAAAAATTATGTTTGTATAATTTCGTGCTAAAAGAGTGAAAGGTGAAAAGTGTTTTTGATCTTTTTATTCAAAAGTATAAAATAAAATTATAATTTAAACATTAGTGTCTAGTTAGTGTATAGTTTCTTATTATTTTTAAAAACAAATATTATTTAATGAAAATATTTTTTAGGAAATGGCGATGTAAATTTGTTAAAAAGTGAGTATTGCCATATTTCAAGATGGAGTCACAAATCGAATGAAGCAAAAATTTGTTGGAATTCGGAGTGAACGAAACCGCTATAATCTTCAGATCCTTAACCAGAACTTAGCTGTTACATAAAAATTTTAAAAAAATAGAGAAACCAATATAATTTTCAACTGATTTTTAAAACAGTTTCTTTTTGAAATCGAAATTTCAAGACTAATTTTTTTTTTGGCTTAGATTATGACATTTTCCTTTTATACTATATTAATATATTTAATGCCAACTTTGGTATAAACTTATTATTGCTGTATGTTTTTTGATAATATTCATAAGCATATCATGTTGTATTTATTAGTGTTTCTTAAAGTTATATTATATTTTGATTTAGTGTTGCTAAATGACTAGTTTTGAGCCGATCTTTAAAAACCCCTAACTCAATAACTTAGCCAGAAAAATATTGCCTAAGCCTCTAGATTTCTCTAATAGATGTCTAGACCTTTGTGCCAATCTATGAGCAAAATTTTGAGGGTTACGTAATATTTTTCTGGAGAAAATATTGGATTAGCCGTTTTTAAAAATCGGCTCAAATGAAGCCGTTTAACAAGAACTATTTTGTTTAAAAAAAAAATTTCTTTTGAACAGATGTATTAATTTTGAAAGAACTGATTGATTATGATTATAGTTACATTTAAAAATTGTAATGTTCTCTTTTTTGATTCGTAAAATTTTTTATGTTTTACTTTATTTTAAAAAGAAAAATGAATATCATTCAAAATTAATTATAAAAGTATCGCCAACAGTGGCGATACTTTTAAATTGAAAATAAAAATATTCGCATATTTCTATCTCTCGTTTCTTCAATGAATTCTATGATTACGTTTTCTTATTTTACATAATTTTGAAAGTTACCATGTCCAAAATGTAATTAGTTTTACATATCACATAGTTTATACCTTACTTGAAATTTATCTGGTTACAATTGCTGAAATCTAATTTACATAGTTTGTTACATTATAGTCAATTTAAACAAAAGGAAATTATGTTAATTTTATATTAAATAAAAGTAGCTATATATCTATTATTTATCATTATATGAACAAATCATAATATAATATTATTAATAAATTATTATATATTATGTATAATGAAAATTTGTCAAAGAGATTTATTTACATTATATTAAGAGAATCTAATCTATTCATTATAGTTGGGTTTTAGCTAAATTTCGGCTAATTCGACTAATTATTCAGAACACGTCCCTTAGAAAATCTGCTTAACATGGAGACGCGAGTTGATTTATTTTTGCCTTCTTAAGAGTTTACCAAAAATGTAACTTGTTACAAGCTAGAATTACTTTTCTTCAAAGTTCTACTTAAAAGTTCCTCAAAAACTAGTACCATTAACAAACAATACTATATTTTATTGGAGCCAAATTTAACTTATTATCGGTTTTGTTCACATTTCGAAAACTTAAAGATAATTATAATTTTTGCATTTTATATAAAATTTATGGGGGAAAATAAATTAATATAATAAGACGAATGCTTCTCCCTCCACCTCCAATCTTTGATGATTTTACCCCGAAAATCTTGCCATGATAAATATTCAAAATCAGCAAAAATGAAAATTATTATTATCAAAACCTTACATCCTTCTAACCCCTACCCCCATCCACCCTTTTTTAATTATAAAATCTTACGTCGCACCCCATCCCGTGGTGCAAGTGCCTGATTGGTATATTTTATTTACGATTCCATTTGGTAGACTTGAAAATAGAAGAAAAGAAAATTAATCATATTTTTATGCAGCTGAAGATTTTAATTAATAACGTTTTTTTTTTAAAGAAAATCCTTTATGGTATATATTATATATAATAGAACTCATTAATGATCCCAACTCCAAAAGTTAAGAAATGTGGGAGCTAAGCATAAAAATAATTAAAGGTTTGAATCGTATTTAATGCCTACATATACAAATATAACAATTATTATAAATTTAGGCAAATTTTTATGATCCTTTTTATTTTAAATTGGTATCTTAGGAAACATTGGGAAATATATCACCCCCTTCTTCCTCTATTTATATATTTTTCAATTTTTTTATTTATTATAAAATGGAATAATATGGGGGAGGAGTGTTATTAATTAAACAATACTATAAAATATTAAAAGACTCAATTTTGGGTATAATGTTAATTATTTTATTGTTATTTTTTTTTACAAGTAAAAGCATTATGTAGAATTGGAAGAAGGTTTAACAATGCTTATAGAAATTATCATAAAAACGATGATCATTATAGTGGTGCAACTCATGAAGATTGGTAAACCGGGTCCCGATATTTCTGATATATAAAAAATGTTCTTGTTTCGCGTTTCAAGGGTCTTCATAATGCGCTCAGCCATTGGCGCTTTCTTTTCCATCCCCTCATTTTTAATACTTTTCGCCTTACTCACAATAGATTTAGCATCTATGAGCACCGTATTGTTCTTGTTTTGGTTGAAATAATCCTTGGAATCATTTCCTTCTAGCACCACTATAGAACGAGCCAACAAGGGAGGCATGAAGTAGTTGATGAAAGACCCATTTCGCAATTTGACCCTGACCTTGCTAACATATTTTGTAGCAGTGGCATTGAGGAGTTTTTCTAAGGTGATCTGGTTTGTTAAGTTATTTTCATGTGGTAATAGCGGGAAGACTGGCGCTGATTCGTTGAAGAAAGTTTGCAGCAAAAAGGATTCACTTGGAAGTGAGTGAGATTTTAGTAAAGAAATGTACGCGGTTAGAATTATTAGCATGGATAGATAATTAGGGGACATCATTATATTTTTTTTAAGTGGTACCTTCCAGGTATTAAAAAGGAAATATTATAAAAATTATTGATTATTTTAATCATAAATTACATGATATAATAATGAATGATGCTTTTCGAAATGATGCTATAAGATGTAATTGAGTTCTTTCGCATTGAATGCGATAAGTCATTAAATAATTATTGCCAGGAATTAATTAGTTTATCTAGCGATGTTTTAAACATGCGAGAACAGGGCACAAATTTTAACAGGCATTCATACTCTTCTCTAGATACATATATCATAATTACTGAACTAGTTAGTCATTAATCTTAAATTGCATTAAAAATAATTATACGTACGTAACATAAAATCAAATTGTGGTGAAATAAGTTTGAAGATAATTGTAGTAAATATTTCTAGACATATCGGTATAAAAATTCTCCGAAAATTGTAAAAAAAAATGGAAATAAACTCCTATTTTACTGGGGAAAATTAAATTTTAGCAAAAATTAGATGTTTTGCATCAGATATCTGTGGAAAACCAACTCATTAGACCCAATGCAATTCATATGAAAGGCGTTCCGATAGGTGTGGATAGTATTCGCGTGGGGTAGTGTGGTGGATGGAAAAATTTTTATCTACTTAAAATTATATTTAAGAAAACAATCAAATTGATAAAAAGGGGAAAATTATATTTTTTCCCTAGATCCTTTGTCTCCGCCTATGAACTCAACCAAACCAATACTGCCCCTCCCTTTTTTCGATCACAAAATTATTTATAATTTTCCTACCCGAAACTAAAATGAAATTTTACACCATAAAAATATATCTTGGAGATAGATTTTATAAAAAAATGTATCTTAGATACAGATCAAAGCATCTTATTAAAAAATATTAAACAACCTATAAGATACTGTGTATTTTGTTAAATAAGAGTTTCTCAGATGCATACAAATTTTTATGGAAAATTTAATATATTCCTTCAGCACAACATGCTATGAGGAGGTCTAAATAATCCCGTTATTCACAAAAAATAGATATAATCCCTTCCAACTCACCCACCCGCTACACAGGAATTATGTGTGACTAAACGATAAGAACGGAGCTGGTGAGATGCATAAACCAACGAGAGGTATACATAGAGAGATACCACTTAATTCAGGATTTTTTCAAAATATATTATACTTATTTTTAATTTTTATAGCTAATAATAGCGATTTAAAATATATGGCCCGGCCCTAGCATTTTTAAAAAAATTGAGGCACGGCCCGGTTATTTATTTTTCCAGGCCAGATTACATTTTAAAAAATTAAACCGAGTACACCGGCCGTGCCTGCCGGTCTCTGATTATAATATGTGGTATTGACTACTAATATTCTTAATGAAATCATTTATTTAAATATAAAAAACCAAAAAATATATCATTATAAAAGATTTTTTAAGTATAATCAAATAGAAATTACTATTTTTTATTCCCAGTATAATGTGTCAAAAGGTCAATACAAAATGGACAGCGAAATTTAAATCAATATATTTTAGTCAATCCCTATTTTAAAAAAAAGGTTGCGATTATTTTAATTACAATTGTCGTATTGGGATATGTAATCCATGGGTATTCGGGATCTTTGTATTTTATATTATTTAACTGAAGGGTGATTTTTAAATTTGAAAAAAAATCTGATCTAACCGAAAATGCATTCCAGCATGTGTGGAGGAACCCTTACCCGTATATACTATTAGATTAGTGATTCATTAATCAAAAATGTCTACACATAGGGGAGTCAACTATAGCGCCATTATGTGACTTGCCACTTCGACTAACTGTCTTTATTTATCATCATATGAATGCACATTAATTTCATTTAATAGACGTGCAAAAAAGAGGTCTGCAATGGGCGAGTTTTAACCAAAAGGCCCGCTCAGTCGTTGTTTTGACACTTTTTTTAACCAGCCTGAATTTATTTTAAACATTTACCCGTCCTACCCATTTATCTATAAATTTTGTTCAGCCCGCCCGCCTGTCCAATGTTTGATCTTTATTTATTTTTTAATGTAGTTTCAATAAAAGTATGTTTTCTCATTTCGCCTTAAAAATATTAAAAATTCACTTGCCACGCACCTGCCCATTACTTTATAGTGCAAACCACAAAATGGCGTTACAGCTGGACACTTTTAAATACATTTAATGAATGAAAACACAATCTTGTAGTATATATTTCATTGTGCCTCCCCTGAAATTTCAGAAATTTTCGCCATATTTGTGTATTTTTTTTGTTTGGTATATATACTATTTATATGAACTAGTATTTAATAATATTTTGTTTCCCGACCCAATCCATCCGAAAAAAAAATAAAATTATTTTAAATCTGAGTATAACAAAGTAATCAAATTTCCTTAAAATTTATTTTCTAAAGGATCTCTGTTTCCGGTTCTTAAACCTGTCGTGGTTTCGAGGGTTCCGGTTGTTTCGCCTATCTGAAAATATTGTACTTATATAGCTACATCTTTGCAAGCAATTTAAAAAAATGCGCAAAATATTTGCCAAGACACTCACGTTTGTTTATATTGTTTATAGATTTTTGCTAAAATAAAATGGCCGATTTTTAATTGCTAGAGAAGACATCGTCTAAACAGATATTTAAATTTTTTTAAATTAAATAAAGAATAAGTTGAAATTGTCAATGAAAAAAATATATTATTTCAAATTCCCGATAACCCACCCATACTAGCCTTTGTCCGTATCTAAATTAATGCTAAAAACATTAGCCCATAACAGATTGGTGTATTCCAAGACAAATTCAACAACAAAATACTATTTTAAAATTTACCCTTGATTAACATTGATTCATTTAAATTTACATAATATTTATTACTACTATAGAATTATTATAAATATGTAATGAAAACGAAGAATTTGATTCGGCACATCGTATCCATCACACATTATTACAAAATACTAATAATTAATTTGTTGGGAGTTGGGCTAATAGTCGATTACGAAACGAAATCCATTATCCTCTTCTATGATATGTTTATAATTAGGAAATTTACGAATATAAATTACATATGAATATTGTAATTTATTTTTAAATAAGTGGTCAATCATTATTTTATTAGAGTGTAATTAAATTATAAAATATTTTATGAACAATATTTATAGATTGTTTCATGTAATTTATCTTTATTCCATCTGAGTATCTCGATAAACAAAGAAAAAATCATAATACACCATGAAACTAACAATAATGATGTTAGGTTGAAGCATTTATCAGAGATTAATAATTTTTTAGGGAACGCTTTGAACCCTTTCATTTTATAAAAGACGGTTTATAAGAGCATCTTTTTATCCAAAAAGTTGCCATTAGCCCAAAAATTTCAAAGAGCCATGCACGTAACTCTGTAGCGTTTGTAATAAAAGTGTTGTAGGCCAATTACTTTGATTTGTGTTGGAAATGAAAAGACTCACTTAAGATATGGTGTGAGAGAGAGCGGTGCGCGTGTTTTATTTATAAAAAGTGTGCGAAGAGCTCAGGATACCGGCGTTGTAAAATGATTCTTTTGTTACTAATATCAGGGCATATCTCCCACCTTTTGGGGCTAGGGGTACTACTAGTTCTGCTGAAAGCAGACAGCTGTTCTAGTAAATTTGTAATCTTAAGGGTAGTCAAGAAGTACAAACTTTGGGAGGTTTGAGATGAGGATAATATATACTTCTTTTAAAGTCTCTATTTTGATAAAACTTTGGTTATTTAGCCATTAATTTGAGAGTAAACAAAGATACTATATGGTCTTAGAATTTTTATAAGTTATCATTATCTTTTTGGGTCCAGTTATGAAGATAGGATTTAGTAAAGCTATGTAAGAGGTGTATAGTGAACTGATGAAGGTGGCATATGAAAATAAATTGCAAAGATCGGGTATAAAAATGAACAGGTGAATGTAGTAGGTAACTTAGACCGGAATAAATTGGTCTCAAGGATTTTAAAGATAAATAGATCTTGGTGGTTAGGTAATAAATATGAAACGAAAAACTAAAGTCGATGCATACGATGGAAGTGATAGCCCTATATGGAAAACAGACAGAGACGTTTACGGAATAAGTGGTAGCAGATGACATGAGAAATTTGGTATACCCGAAGAACATCAAGTGAGTATTGAGAGGGAAGAGTACACCTAGGTTAAACAATATAAATCGTTCGGTTTTACAGTACAAATATGATAATTTAATTAGATTTTTTAATAAAAAACTTTTATATATTGTGACGAATCGACCATTTGTAGACCTAGAGTCCTTGTAATAGCGCTCATGGCAGGTAATCCTGTATGAGACAAATCATCGAAACTACTTTTATAAGTTTTGGAGTAGAGTAAATTTATAACGTTTATGGCCGTTATTATAGGCACCGTATGCCTCAATCTCTCGGTTTGATATCTGAGTAATTGTGCGTGAGAACCTACATTTTTAAAAAAAATAAGTTTAATAATACATCACGCATGAGTTTGTATAGTGGTCTATTATATAAAAAATATCGTTTAACTATAACAGCAAGCCCTCGTGTCCGACATTTTCGCGATTTTATTTTACACCCATGAGTGAATCAATGGCGTCTCTATTAAAGGTCGAAAAAAAATTAGACGTACATACAGGGCACCTCTAATCTTTATCACATCCCCAAAACTCCGTGGCATATCTTAATAAACAAAAAAAAATGAGGTTTATTTATTATTACGATGAAATTCTATTATAATTCCATTCGAACAATTTTAAAATGTCAGATACGAGAATTTGCAGCAAAGCCGAAGCCGAATGTTATGATAGTTAATTTAAATTGAGAGTTTGTAAATGAAGAATTTGAATATTGCATAGTTATTGTTTTTTGAATCTGTTGGATGATAATCTATCTTTATTGTTATGGAAATGAAGCATTATATATTATTTCAATGCGTATTAATAATCAGCTGGTAAGACGCAGTTTCCCGTGTAAATATTTTATGTAATTTAATATTAAAAAAAAATTTTCAGATGTATATATTCATTCATAAAAATTCTTTTAGGGGGAACATAAATGGCGTGCCAGCAGTAGTAAATGATAAAATATGTCATATTATTCATATTGTATTATTAATTAGGTAATTAGTCATATTATAAATATACTATAAATATACTATAAATACAGTAATCTAATTTAAGCTCTTGATAATGGCAACTCTTGATTTAAATTTTAAGTTCATTCCTATATAAATAAAGTCTTGAGAAATTGGACATTTCTAAGTTAGACAAAAATCTTGGTCCCAACGATGCCAAAATTAGACAAAGTTTATTCTATTTATAGATCACTGAATATTAATTTATAATATATTTAGCAAACTGGCACCAATATAATTTTTTACAGTTTATAGTGGGATTTTTTTTTATTAAGAGTGATTGCTTAAAAAACTGGAGCAGCCGATTTCCAGGGAAATCTGCTGACGAAGGTAAAATCCTTCATTGGAGTCCCCCTGAGATTTGTCTCATTTTCCCCCTATGATTTAAATAAAATTGAGGGCATCACTTCTTAACATGCCTAGGGTATTGGTAACGATTGGAATAAACACAGTGTTGGTGAGGCCAGTATATTTGTTTTTTTAGGATTTCAGCCTTTTCAATGGCAGAAAATGAGATCCCTTCCATTGCAAGTTCTCCCATGGACGACAACCGCGCCATAATATCAACAACATTCTTTTAGCTGCCTTCAAAAAAGTTAATATTCCATCCCTCTCGAGCCGGTGGGCCTCTCAAACGAAAACGTCTTACGTCCCGATGGGATATCCCTCATTCCCTGTATTAATGGTCTCCAGCTCGCTTGAGACTATACCTGTGTCTATTTTGCAGTAAAGTCTAACCTCTCATTTTCTGCTAAAAAAACAAATATGCCGGCGTCACCAACACCGTGTTTATTCCAATCGTTACCAATACCCTAGGCATGTTTGGAAGTGATGCTCTCAATTTCATTAAAATCATAAGGAAAACTATGAGGATCTCAGGGTACTCCAATGAAGGATTTTACCTTCGTCAGCAGATTTCCCTGGAAATCTGCAGGTCCAATTTTTTATTCACTCTTCTTTAGGATGATTCGTACCCGTTTTTTAAATATTTTTTTTTTCTTTCTTTTTTATACATATATTTTAAAAAATTCATTTTTAATATATGCTTATTAGTTTTTTTTTTAAATATATATATTTTTTAAATTATTCAGTGTATATATATATCCTATTTTTAAAATAAATAAAAAGATTTGTATATTAATCAGAGACCTGCAGAGGTACCATTTGTAAGGCCCGGCCTGGATTTTTTAAAAATATATTTTACTTATTTTTGATTTTTACAGCTAATAATGGCGATTTCAAATAAAAAAAATTCCTTATTATGGCTCTGGAACTAATAATTTATCTTCATCTGCAATTTTTATTATAAATCTTACGTATTTAATTGGGTAACGTTTATATAAAAAAAAGAGAACCTTTTTTCCGTAAAAAAAATGGTTAAAATATATAAGATAAAACAATAAAATAATTAAGCCGGAATTTTATTATTTATAATTATTTAGGTAAAAACATTAAAATAGAAATGTAAACGGGAAAAAAACCTATATTGCAAGTGGAGCATAAGGAGTCAGCGAGAATTCTTTGCAGACATTCCACATCTCCCAATCCTAAATTAAGGCCTTGACCAGCTAAAGGATGGACTCTATGGCAAGCATCACTTTAAAAAAAAAATCACAAAATAAATAAAGATAAAAAAAATTTTGGACTCAATTAGGGATTCAAAAAAATTATTTTGTTAGTTATGTGATCGTAGACCCAAACACGGACCAATTTTTGAACAGTCACTTAAACCCGGGGTATTTTGGGAAGGGGGCTGGTCGGAACCCATTTTTAAAAATCTAGCGCCAATAAAAAATTTTGACAAAATCGACGCTCCTCCCCTTTGAAGCCAAACCAGGGTCCATAATCCTGCATTTTTTAATATCGAGTTGAGCTGGCTATATTAATAGCTCTTATGTTGCAGTATTGGTTTTAAACCGGTTCAATCAAATTATAACATTTCAGTTTGCTCCCTTAAAAAGTGCTCCCGTTTCTTTATAGCGGTTTATCAACTATTTTGGTGGTCAAATGACTATTAGATTATCTTGAAAAGATTTAACGTAAAAAAAGTATCTTTCTTCCCTTCCTTCTTTTTCTATATCTCAAATATTCAAATTAATTTATTAAATTAATATAAGTTATATGCTCAATTAACTAATTAAGTTAGATGTATGTGTTACAACCAGATTTGCTTAGACACAGACAGATATTTTTCACATATACCAATGGCTCATACCGCAATTTAAAAATACTTGCCCTCTACCTTTCCTTGTTAGAATAGTTATAATTTTATTACTTTTTCTTGATGCAAGAATTGTTTTCTCTCAAAAGCCCTTTAATTTATCATTATTAAATCTTAATAATGTGTACAGATGCTAAAACCAACTAAAAGAATATTAAAATTTTTAGAGGGGAGGGGGACATTTTTTAAGATTTGGGCCGACACCCAGCTGAGGTAATAGGTGAACCTTTGGTTAAAAACCTTGGCATCGTGATATTATTTTTTTATATAAATCATCTTTGCTAAACGGGCTTACCCTATGAGAGCCACTCTAGGCCACACGAAACGAGAGGCGAACATGAATTTCAAAGGAATCTTCATTCTACTACCTTCTTGGATGGATGTTATGCGGGGCGGAAATTGTTTGTAAGTGTTAATTCTTCTTTTCTTGACTTTTTTTAATATTATAATAAAATATATTAACATTTGATAGCAATTTTGGCAGATTATCACATTTTTTTTATATATAAAAGTTAAGACTTATATTATTTCGCACCGAAACGGAAACGTAAGAATGTGTTTTTTTTACTTAATTGCTCAAAATTTTTTAAAAAAAATACTTAAAAACTACGAATTTATATTGACTTTCAAACAGATATTTTTTCTTAAAATAACGCAAAATAAAAATTTTGATTTTCTCAGAATTTCTTTTATTGAAATTTTAGGAAGAAATACTTAAATCGTTCAGATATTTTTGCCATTAAAGCATTTTATTTCGAATTAAAGTTAATAAAATGAATCGTTGAGTTTTATTGCTCCATACTCTCGGGTCTATTTCATGGGCGGGATATCTTGATGTGGGTGTCAATTAATATTTATAAATTAAAAACGTTAAAATGCTGGAAATTTTAATATTGCCAGAGATTTTTGGAGGAAGGAGATCTTTGCGTGTTGGCTACAATATTGCGGGGAGTCATCCACTGATGGTAAGGGGGGGGAAGACCGAACAACTCTGCAAACGTTACTAAAAATCTTAGATAAATTTTATATAAATAAATTTAAGATCTAGTATTTTAATAAACATATTTTTTTAAAAAATCTAACGTACAACGTTATACATTATTACCTTCTATATCATATAATTTGAATATACTGTGAATGGATAATTTTTATGCATAAAGTTTGGGTTTTTTTTAACGAATATATCATTTTTTAGATTAATCATTAATTAGATACAATATTCCATTTATTGCTTCGATATAATAATCCATTTATTAATTCATTAACAAGACTCAATTACTATTAAAAATAAGGATATAATATTGAAGATCGTTCCGGACCCCTATCCGGATAGGTCTTAAAGTGTGGTTAACGGTTGGGTGTATTATTAAAACCCGCGGTTCGTTTAGATCTTCGAATATCGGCTCCAAAACCAATCGGAAGAGGACCTTCACATTATGAAACAGTCAAATGTGGTTTAAATCTTAGAAAAAAATAATATATTTATCCAAATATGAGAAGATTTGGGTTTATAAGAATATAATTCAGAAATATTTATCGCAATATTAGTATTTCAGTAAATTCAATAAATATGAATTTAGTTAAACTAACTGTTCTCGAACGGTAGCACGTCCAATAGTTTATCCATCCAACTTTCCAGTTTCAGTATTCGCTCATTTTCGATGTTCGCGTTCCACTGAATTATATATAGATATCAAATGAATTATAATATTTTTAAAATCTTTCTTTCTTTTTTCCTTCTTATCTATTCCCTTCATCAAATATATATGCTTTAATTCTTATTCCCTTTAGAGATTTTTTTACCACAATGTTATTAGAGTTAGTCAGCTGATAACAACTTGATATTGGGGAGAAGCAAACTTGGATAGGCCCAATGACATTTAATACTAACCTAATCTGAAAGTAATTTTTGTAATATCTTGAAATGCTTTTCAATTGCCTCTATTACAGTGTATGCTTATTTTAACAAATATTTAAATAAATTATTTAAAATTTATAAAATTTTAAGAAAAATGATAGATAAATGTTTTGATTAATAGATATGTTTTTATTTTTAAAAAGATTTTTTTCTTTAAATTGAAGTATTCAAATCAAATTTTTCCACCGCCTAAATAGATTCTTTATATTTCCTCATTTTAACAGTATTAAGATAATTTTTAAAGGAAATTATTAATATTATTATATCAAAAAATGTATATATTATTAAAGAAACATATCAAAACTTCACATTTGGTGCCATTTTAGACGTGTAAAAATTTATTTTGCAAATTCATTGCTTTAAACAGTGTAAAAAGAATGATAATTTTAGGATAGAAAATCTTATGAGGTTGGGATTACATAACAAAAATTAGAATCAAATATTTGTGTATTTTTGAATTAAATAATTGTATTTCATACATTATTTGTATTCGTAAGAAAACATTTTTTAATTTGATTTATCAAATATTTGATTCGACATTTTACTTCATCATTATATTTAGTTTTTTTTAAAGCACTTGATTATTTTTTTAAAATTATTGTTTCCTTTTTTAAGGTAGTCAACATAATAAATGTAAACCAATGTTTTGTTCAATTCATCCACAAACATCTCTTCATTCATGTGCATCAATTTGTTGTCATGACCATGAAGGTGTGGCACAGACCAAACGAGGGAGCTTTGGGTAGAGTTTAGAGGTAAAAGGGCAACCACACCATGAGGGGTAAACTTTTGCCAGGCCACCATGTTTTCTTGACTCTGTGACATAGTGGTTTCTTCATCTCCATATTTTTGAGAATCAAACTTTGATTAAATTATAAATGATAATATTCTATAATATGTCATTTTTTCAATAAAAGTTCATACAAAACTAATCTTAGTACTAGTGTTATTAAAAGGCTTGTTTTGAGCCAATTTTTTAAAATGGCTAACTCAATATTTCTGCAGAAAAATACTATGCAAGCCTGAAGATTTTGCTCATAGTACAAACATCTAGACATATATTAGCAAAATCTCGATCGAGCCTTAGACAATATTTTTTCTGGCTAAAATATTGAGTTAGCTGTTTTAAAAAATCGGCTCAAAATGTTCAACACTACTTAGTACAAAAGTGTCTATTTTTAAAATCATAATTTATTTTTGGTGAGGCAAAATCACTCCATTTTACGAGCTTTGTCTATCAAACATTTTTTACCATAATAATCTTGATTATTTTCAAAAAAGGAGGTATTATTAAATTGATATATTAAAATAAAAAAATATATATTCTTATGATAATGTTTTACAGTTGATAAATTTAGTGTTGCAATAATAGCAGCCTGTTCATAATCCCATTCAAAACAAGGGGCTTTTTTAGTTTTTCTGATTAAAGAGTTGTAGCCATCTGATCCAATCTATGTAACATATTAAATACCAAATTTTTTTACAAAGGTATAGAATACTAAAAGTTGAGTTTTTAATATATCACCATTGCTCAAATGAACTTCAACTATTAAAAACAAAGTTAGCAATAAAAAAATAATACAAGTACCCTCATCCATGTTTTTGTTATTTGGGTAAGCATATTGATTAATATCTGATTCATATTTTAGCTAAACAATATATAATATATTATGTAATTTAACATGTAAACTTCAAAATTTTTGTTTAAAGGAGAAGATAAAGTTTGTTTCAATGCTGATATAATAATATCCTGTTCAATAATATAAATGATAGCACTCATCATGTCATTACTTTCAAAAACTAAATTGGCTTCTGAAAAGCTGTCCCATATCTAAAAAAAATATCAAATATAATTTATAAGTATAATAAACTTGCATTCTTTGAACTTCTTTAAATCTATTTTTTTTAATAATATTCCATGCTCCAATTTCTAAAAAGAATCAATTACATACTGGTGCAGAGAAATGTATTTAACTTTTAAATAATTCCTTACTCCTTATTGTAATAGCATATACTGGACTTTTATAAGATATATTTGATTGCTCCATATCTTTGCCTCGTTCTAGCAATATAATCTTCTTGTCAATTAATAATGGATTATTTGCTATAACACTGATTATTCACTTATTTTATTTATGTATATACCTAAGGCACTAGCCATAGTCAATCCGACTACTCCACCGCCCGATATAATTACATCATAATGTTTGAATCGGTGGATTATTTGGTTTGACAAGAATTTATGAAAAACTTTGCAGCTGTTCATCATATGAAATGATTGAATAGATTCTTATATATAAAGAAATCGACATTAAGCATGAAAAATATTTTGTAAAATCTTTACGAAGGCTGCACCATGTCTCGTCTTAGGTTACTTTTATATACAAGTTTTAAATTATCTATTTTGATACTCTAGCATAGGTTATTTATTAAATAATTTCTGAGTACGAAAATATAAACATAATTAATTTGAGTATAATAATCTAAAATTATATAATATAGCTAGTGGAATCATATAAAGTTCTTTAAATTTTTATTTAGTTCAAATAGTCAGAGACCTGTATTTCTCAAGTTAGTCACATAATTACCCCTATAAATATCTTGAAGCTTCTAATTTTATTTTAAACATTAATTTTTATATAATGATTCTCAAGCTTAAAAATTTTATTATAGTAAAATAATGTTTTAAGCATAGGCGTAGTTAATTCTTCTAGGAGGGGAGGGGAATTAGAAAATTTCTGTGGAAAAAGAACATATATGAATTATATTATTAGTTTATATAAAATATAATCAATTCCTTATTTATAGATTACTAGAAAAGCATGGTAATAATTTCTTCAAAACAAATATAAGAAATTTCTTTATAAAATAAGTAGAAATATAGTTGATATTCCTCTATTATATAGAATTGGTTACCAAATATTATGTAAAATTCCACTTTTACATACATAGACAGTTGTTGAATATATTACAGTTAGTATTTTACTAAATTTTACTAATCAATGTTTTTGATAATAAATATAAGCACAATTTGCATCCAATTATTTAACGCCATCTATTTATCTTAAATAAAAAACGATATTAAATTTAATCTTCGTATAGAATTATTTTTTTATTTACATTCTGTAAAAGATATTTTCTGATATCCTAGTATATTTTATAGTATACTGTATAATATATAATTCACTATTGGTAAAAATTGTTTGATTATCATGCGATAATTGATAAAATTAGATCTGTTTATATTGTGCATTAATTTTTTTTTTTTAAATTTATAATTTTATTTTATCAATACTTTTATAATTATATTTTACTTTTTAAGATAAATAAATTAAAGTTACCCACTTTATAAAAAATATTGAATATAGCAATTTTATGGATCTATTATTAGTAATTATAATACATTAACTATTGTCTTAAGACTTATCTTTGACTTATATTTCAATTCTTTAAAAATATTTTTGATTTCACTTTTTTATATACAAATGATTTTTTCCAAAAGTATGAATTATGATTAGTTTTAGTTTAAAAAAAATATTAACTTCTACATTCTTTCTTTCAAATTATTGTTTAAGATATTTATACATACATTTTTGGGAGACAGGAAGTGGGGAGAAGACTCAGGAGATAATAGCCTAATATGATATTCACAAAAAGTGATAAATTTCTGGAGGTGGGGGAATTTCCCCTTGTTCCCCTAGCTACGTCTATGATTTTATATGCCCCTACGCTTCTTCTATAAAGTATTACTATATAAAAATCGTAATAAACAAACCCAGTAATGTGATTATTGTGTTCATTAGATTATATGAATTAGATTTATTTCAAATTTAGGCCCGTAGTTCAGATTAAAGCTATAAGTGTAGGAACATAGTGACGAATCAACCATAGAAGCAAGGAAGCGTTGTCTCCTTTGTAATTTTTCTTAATAAATTTCTTTGTTAAAAAAATTAATACTATTTTTACTAGTATTAGTGCATTATAATTCTACTACTATAAAAAAATTAATGTTAAAAATAATTATTGTTTACTTTACAATGATTATTAAATTATTATTATTTCTATTACGTTAAAAATTTATATATTTGAGAAGCAAATTTATAACTGCCTATTTTTTCAAATGAATAAAAAAAAAATAATAATGTTCATATAATATTTTAAGCTGTAATACTTTTATTATGTTAAAAAAATAAACATTGGAGAATTAAATATAAAATTGCTATTTTTTTAAACAAATAAAGAAATGTTTTGTATAATTTTACTTTTAAAATAGGCGTTAGGGAAGCAAATAATAAAAATTTTTTATTTATTTTAATGAATTAAAGATAAAAAAAAACAATAAAAATTTCTTTTTTTTAAAAAAAAAAAAATTTTGGATTTTATTTTATATTTATATAAAATATCAATTACAAATAATATATAAATTATTAAGAAAACACATATTGTAATGTATATAAAAAACTAGATTAAAAAAAATATATATGAAAATTCCAAAATCAAATCACATAAATGTGAATTAAAAATCAAATGTATATAATAAAAAATAATGAATATATGAACGTATAAATAAAGTCTATATATAAATGCGACAAAAGGAATATGAAAAAATAAAAAAATTAAAAAATGCCAATGAAGAACGGGGATGGTATAATAAGAGGAAAAAAAGGATTTAGGATGGCTCTTTAGAAAATTCATTAAAAATATATTTAAAAAAAATTTTGATATAAATTTTTTTATATTACTATTTTTAAAAATTAATAATTAATTTGATATAACAAATGACTTTTAACCAGAATTTAAATTTATAATAATTAGTAATTGAATTAAAGCACATTTGAAATTAGTTCTCTTTATTGTAATTCATATCTTCTTATATAGTCAAAATTCATAATGTAAATTTTCATAAAAATGATAAAAAAGTCTATTCAAAACACAATGGAAATTTACAATTCAAACATAGTTATGTTAAAATAATATTCTAATAATATATATTTATAAGAAGGATTGACCTATCAGATATAAAATTACATTTTAGATATAACTCGAATAAACTTTGTTCAAATATAGCAGTAAACATTGAAAATTAATTTTCGAAAAAGGACCAACACCAACTTTACAACTTAAAATGAAATCAATTTTCAACCTAACTTTGTCTTCAACAACCATAGGTTCAGAGCTGAGATTATATTTAAAACGAATAAAATTTTTACCCATTTATCCAATCAATCTAAAATGAAAAATAATATTATAAAACATTTACAATCTAACAATTATAGTTTTTAAGAATTATATTCAAAACATAGACAAATTCCGCTTATTAATTAATCTTATTTTGTTTGTAAATAAATGTCAGGCTTTTCTGATAATAAACTTCAGGCTTCGTCATTGAAATTACAGGAGTGTATAGTTTAGCAATAATTAGTCTTTTATCTATCATTGATTTTAGATTATATAGTGCATACGATTTTATTAATCCTTCGGAAAATCATAGAATTTTCTATAATATGCTAAAGTCTGCTTATGTATAATGATGGAGATGATTATTGATCTTAATTTTATATGTAGCAATTCCTATTATATTTTGGTTGCATTTCTTAATAGTTTCAAAGCGAAATTGAAAATTTCCAATAACCTTTTTAGAGCTCAAACCCATCCAAGAGCTTAGTTTCAGAAAAAAAGACTCCGAAAATCGAAATTGCAACTCAGCCTCAATTAAGAACCTTAAAAAAAAAATTATAATAGTAAAATAATATTGAATTTAAATCTTCGAAAGAGCTATTTAGACTAGACTTACATCGTTATTGTATAAACCCTATAAAATTTTATTTAAGTTTATAACTCAAGTATATAGTATGAAAGATCCCTTTGAAAAATATAATTTAATTTGATTTTGCAAAATATAAATAGGAGTTAAGGCCGTGTCCTATTTTTATTTAATTTTGATACTTATTTCTGTTTAATCTTAATCAGCCTTTTAAACTGGGGCACCCTATTTTAGTTTGTCTTAAGTGTTTAGTGGCATTGTTATTTTTTGCATTTTTTTTTCGTTTTTTTAATAGTTTTTTGTTTCCGTTTCCGTATCCGTATCCGTTTTGTTTTTTTTTCATTTTTTTTCCAATCTTTTTTTCTCTTTTTAGGTTGATTAGTCGAAGCTATATCTTGAGATATATTTATTGCGTTTTACCCTTTTATACTTCATTAAAGTTTCGTCTTATTTTTATTAATTTGAATGTTTGGTTCAACACTTTTACCTATTACAGTGTTTGGTTTTTCATTTTAATTCATTAAAATTATAATTTTATTCGTTGCCTTATTGAAAACAAATTTTTGGAACAGTATTTTTATAATGGATACATATTATTAAATCATATGTGGTTCATTAAATTCTTGAAAATTCTATTTTTTCCAAACGCAGCCCGGCCCAAAATTTTTAGGCTCGAGCTAAGGCCGGGCCAGGTTTTGGACCGAATTGCATGACCTATGAGTACATGTTTTATCGGCTGAGAATATGACCTTTTGAGCGATCCCTTGGTAGAAATGGCTATTGGTGAGAATATAAAATTGTTGAGGCTTTTGTATTTGTTTATTTTTTAGTCTATGCTTGAGTAAGCAGGTTACTATTAATATTAGTGGAGAAGGATGAGGCACTATAATCCCAAATAAGGATCTACCCATGGGTTGGATCTTAGGCCGTTATCTGTTGGGATGTTCATTGTATATGTATATTAAAATAATATGGCATCACAAAATTAATTAAAAGCTTTTATTTATCAAAATTATTTAAAACATAATGATATAATTTAAAAAAAGATATAGGTAATTGAGTATATATAATTTAAATAATTAAAATATTATTAATTTCTTATAAGCATTAAATAGATAAATTTAAAAAAAATTACAAAACTATTTTTCGGTAACTTTAGTCAACACTTTGTTATACTGAACATCGGCCATGGAATTGCCTTGAATTTCTACTAATACACCCTGTAGTGATTTTTTCAAAGCTTCTTTACTAGAAGTGTACAGCATCTTCTTCTTTGTGTCAGAGCTATCTGGACACCATATATAGAAGATAAGTTTATGAGAAGGTTGGTTGGTCTTGGGACTGACAAAATCAAAATCCACCAGAGCATATCGGCAATCCTTATGAGTTTGAACGTCGGCCAGTTCCTTGAGAAATTCCTCGTATTTGGCCTTATCAGATCCTTTTTTGATGACAACGATTTTGGAGTTATCGGCTGACATCCCAAATAACACGTATTTATGATTAGCCTTCATCTTAACCTCTTCGAATACGGTCAAACACTCCGCATCCAACGTTACACCTGACATACCACTCATGTTTGCTTGATTTCTACAGTTATTTATATATTAAATACGGGAAAAATCCAAGATGGAAAAATGAATTTCAATAATTTTTAAAATAAAATTGCTTAAATTGATAAAATAAATAAAAATTGAATTATAATTATGTGCATACAAACACGTCACGTTTTTTTCGTAAATGTAAAAGTTAAATTTTTTGAAAAATCGAAATAATGACGTGTACACGTTGTTTCATATTATTTTATTGTTTGATATAATATACATCATGATATGTAATATCCATATTTTGATTCATGCTTCTATTATCCTTAGAAAAGAATTATTTATTTGTCATTTCACTTAAGTTTTAGTTGGACTTGGTTAGCAAGCATTTCTACCCCGGGGTGCATGACAAAAGATGATCTAAAATAATATATATTATCATTAGAATAAAGAGAGCAGGAGAAAATGGAAAGTTTTCTTTTGGAAAGAGGGGTTGAAAACCTTATTGTTGTAGCAGGGTGGGTTATAAAAGTAAGTAATCTAAGAAATACTTAATTTTATGCGGATAATCATTTTTATATTTTTTTTTTTATTTTCCAAATTTATATTTTCATTGGTTGATGGTTTTCCCTGATTTTTTTGGTTCTCAATGGTAAGTAACTTTCTCCAAAAGTTTGAAGTATTGAAGTTTGAAAAGGGAAACAGGCAAATGGCTTTTAAAATGAAAATTGCATCTAAATATTTATGGGTATAATATGATCATCGGCTAAGGATTGTAGAAGTGCCAGGGTCAAGGAATCTAAAAAGGCTGGATTTTTAAAAGTAGCTCATAAAAATTTTGTTTTATTTAACCCTTACGTCTCTAAAATTTTCTCCTAGATGGCAGAAAGTTAGAAAACCTCTTAACTCGAGGACTGCGTATTATTACCTAGAATTGCTGATCAACTGTAAATTTTAGAATCAGTACCATACAAAACGAACCATTTTTAGCAAATACCATCCCACTTTTAGATTTGGTCACATATTAATAAAATTTCTATTTCATATCCTAAAATTTGTAAAATTTTATTAAACAAAAACTTTTAGTCAAAATAAAGAACTAACAACATAAAAACTTGTCCGCAGGACTTTAAACTTTCGAAAATGTATTACTGGCTTGTTTTAAGGCTTAAAATAAATAATATTAACCGGAATTCAACACTTTTTAAAAATTTTTTGGAAGTTAGAGTTCCTACTTGTCAGTAGGCAAATATTATATGAAGCGGGTTTATCAAGAAACATTCAATTCTAATACAAATCAGTAATTTATTAAATATTTTTATACTTTATTCACTATTTATTATAAATCTAATGTATAAAATAACCCTTAGTTCCAAATTTGCCCTTAGTTTATTTCAATTCTTGTAAAAACACAATCTTTTTAAATTTATAACATTTTAAAATGAATCTAGGATATAGAGATATCGTCTAAAAATAGATTTAGATACAGATATACTATTTACGTATTTAGACACAGATATACTATTTACGTATTTAGACACAGATACATTATCATACTTATATACAGGGTTAGCCGTTTTTCTCGAACAAAAACTCTTATTATGAGAGCACAAAATATATTAACAAGATAATAATAAAAAAACCCTATTTTTATCATTCTTTTGAACAAATTCTCCTTTAAAGAAACATCTATTGAAAAAAATCTTTACATTACACTAATAATTTATTCATTAAAAATCAGGATAGTATATATAAAATTATTTTAAAAAATTCTAAATATATTTTCAAATAATTTTGTGCTTTAATAAATAATGGACGACATGACTAGGCAAGGATTTATATATTTTTCTATATTCGGAACGAATTGAGCATTTGCGTTTGCAGTATGTTTTTGAACGTATACATAATGAAGATATCCTTCCCATTAAACTGATATTTATAGATTAAATTTGGGGAAAAAATAATATTTATTATAATAATATGATCTTATGAAATAAAATGAATTTTGCAATCAAATATTGTTTTTAATACAAAAAAGCATTAAATAAAAGTAAATCAAAAAACATCTTAAAAGTATCGTAAAACAGATATAGATACCTCTAATCTAGATACAAATTCCTTTTATAAAAGTGTATCTAGATACAGATACTGAAAGAAAAAAACAATAAGAAAATACAATAACATTGCCTCTAAAAGCTTAAAACAAACCAAAATAGGGTGTCCTAGTTCAAAAGCAGTTTAGCCTAGGCTAAACAAGTATGAAAAATAAATCGAACCCGGACACAGCTATATAGGTAGTGATCTGCATCGGGCCTAATTTTTCAAGCCCGGCCTGAACCCGAAATTTTTTAAAAAAATTTTGCCGGCCCGGCCCGAACCCAAAATTTTTTAAAAAAGTTTTGCTAGCCCGAACCCGAATTTTTTTTAAAAAAAATTTACCGACTCGGCCCGAATTTATTTAAATATAGAAATTAATTTTTATAATTACTCAAAATAAAAGACATATGTTATATGTCGTTTAGTTTCAATAAATAAAATCAAATACTTTTATTTTACATAAAAAATTGATAAATTTAGATATATTTAAAAAAAATTCCAAGGTCCGATCCGACCCGGCCCGAATTTTTTTTTTAAAAAATTTACCGACCCGGCCCGAATTTATTTAAATATAGAAATTAATTATTATAATTACTCAAAATAAAAGACATATGTTATATGTCGTTTAGTTTCAATAAATAAAATCAAATATTTTTATTTTACATAAAAAATTGATAAATTTAGATATATTTAAAAAAAATTCCAAGGTCCGATCCGACCCGGCCCGAATTTTTTTTTTAAATATTAGGCCCGGCCCGATTATTTTAAATAGAATTAGGCCTGAGTTGGAGCCAGGCCTAATTTCGCAGATCTCTATATATAGGTGCGTAGCCATAGGAACGAGCGAGGAAAGACCCCCCCCCCCCCAAAAAAAATCTCTCTCCTCCCAAACTGACCCTTTGATAAATTTTTGGTACCCACAAATTTTTCCGGCGTCTAAATTTTTTTAAATAATTAGTTATCAAATTTTTAATTCGCCAGTAACAATTAAATTTAAATGAAAAAGCAAAAGCAAAATTCTTATAAATATTTTAGTTATCAAAATTTTATTTAGACAAATTTATTGGATAAAGAAGAAAATAATTTAAATATATATTCACTCATTAAACATTAAATGAAAAAACAACAAACAATATCCGCCTTTTAAATTCATCGGCAAATAACACTAGTTGGTGAATTCACCATTCCAATTATTCTTCTCAACATCTTCTTGAACATGGTAAGTCAGTAAATGTTAGCGAAACTTATTTAATTAAACAATTAAGTTATTGCAAACTATTTCCTGCTTATCAAGCGACAATAGCCAGCGTTAATCAGATCAATATAATATTTTAAAAAAATTAAAAGAGGACAAAATACCTATTTTCCTAGTGAAGTTTAAGATATAAAAATGGCAAACTGCCTATCTTGCGATCATACTTAAACGTTAATTATAGATCAATACATATCAAATATTAAAATAATATATAAAAATTTAAAGAGGATTAAGTTTATACAAAGAGGACGAATATTCTACTATGTAAAGGACGAATATTCTTTCAAATACTAATTTCCTAGTGGAGGGTAACTAAACCTCAACGAGAGGTACTGAGGGCATTCGTTTTATTTTAAAAAATTTGTGGTAAGACACATCCTGTCCTAGAATTTGCGTTAGGACCAATCTGATGCAATAGTCTACGTTAGAACGCACCCAATCTGGCCTCCCTTACATCATAAAGACGATCCCTAAACACGAAAATGAAAAAAGATATGACGTTCTCATTCTGTAAGGGTAAGGGCAACCATAAAAATAGGCTATTTATAAATCACCATGCCTAAAATATTTTTTATATGAGCCTAATGTTTTTGTTTTTCACCAATCATTTTTCACATACTTTTCTTGCATAATTCCCCCTCCCCTCATCACTCCTTCCATATGATTCTACCCCTATCCAGTATATTCGCAAAATCAGTTAATATTTATTTTATTTATATTGATTGAATTGTAATAATTTTTTGATATTATTTATAAGATAAACATAATAAAAGATTAAAATAAATGTAATCTTCATAATTGATCATATTTTACACTATGATATAATAATAGGACATTCAATAATAAATTATTTATTAAATAATTGACAGATGTAACATGTCGATTATGTTTAAGATTAACCATAGTATAAACTTTATAAAGGATAGAAATAATTATTCTCTCTCATAGGGCCAAAATTTATGTGCTTCATATGGTTTATAAAGTTTTTTGTATTTGAGGTTGTAGACGTGAGTGGAGCGATTAGGAAATGCCGAAATATTATCGAAAAATTGCGGGTTATCTGCAAATCTTCTGTATTCCGTTTTGATGTGAAGATTCGGAGGGATGTGTGAATCTTTACTAGTGGAGTGTGAGGCCATAATATCTAAGGGGCTGCGAACATCAATGGCAGTTAAGAAATGCTGACATACCAAACCTAAAGTCGTCAAATTAAGAAGGAAAGAATTGGGAATGTCTCGTCGAGGTATTTTATTTGTGCATTCGCGTAATATCTTTTTTTTTATATATAGGTTTAAAAATAAATAAAGGTAAAATAATTTACAGAACTGTTAAAATAAAGTATCGCGGATATTCTATCTGGTAAGTATTTCTGATCAGATTGTATCGACAATATTTAAAAAATTTATATGTATCGTTATCTAAGTTTCGATACATTTTCACTAATCAATATCTGGGGGGGGGGGTACTGTACCAATATTATCGGTGCCGATATTGAACTTTTAGAAAAAAATATCGGATCGGCCGATAATATTTTAAAAAATTTAACTGAAACCGATTTATTATTTTTAATTTTTGAACTATCTTCCATTTCTCATTATAAATTTTTAAACCCCCATAAAACAAAAGTGTGAAGGAAGGCGACAAATGTTTTCAAACAATTAGAAAAGTAAAATATATTAATCAGAGACCTGCAGAGGTACCATTTGTACGGCCCGGCCCAGATTAAAAATTCGGCCCGGCCCGGATTTTTTTTTACGGCCCGGCCCGGGTTTAAAAATTTTAGGCCCGGCCCGGATTTTTTTTTTACCGCCCGGCCCGGTGGGAATATTTAAAAAAAAATATTTTAGGCCCGGCTCTGAATTTTTTAAAATTATATTCGACCTGGTATATACAAAAAATTCATTATTTCATATTTTATCATATTTTTCTGCGAGTATTATCATTTAATAAGCAAGTATATTAGCTAATGTTGTTAAACGGCTCGTTTTGAGCGGATTTTTAAAAACGGCTAACTCAATATTTTAGCCAGATAAATATTGACTAAGCCTCGAAATTTCGATACTATATGTCTAGACCTTTGCTCCTTCTATGAGCAAAATTTTCAGGCTTGCATATTTTTCTGGATAAAACACTGAGTAGCTGTTTTTAAAAATCGGCTCAAAACGAGCCTAACAACACTAACATATTTTTTTTTTATTCTAAACAGATATTTATGTATTACAAATTGATACTATAAAAAATTTGTGTAAATAATATTTTGAGAATATACTATGTATTTATAAAAAAAATAAAAATTAGGGCTGTGCCGATATTAAATATCGGATCGGATCGGTCCCGATTTTTGGCGTTTTTCAAAAATATCGGATCGGCCCGATACCTGTAAAAAACCCGATCCGATCCGATCCTTTTACTAAAAATGCAATTCTTATAAAACTTTTGAGTAATGAAACTTTGAATTATTATTTTTTAATAAAAAAAATTTTTTTAAAATATTTTTAAAAAAAATAAATTTTTTCGAGTTTCTATTTTACATTAATAATATTTTATAAATAATTTTTTTTTAAACAATGCAAATGTTATTTATTTTTTTAAATAGATTTTACAAGTTTTTTTTATAAAAATAGAAAGGAACACCCAAAGTTTTATTTATTTTTAATTTTTTAAAAAAATAACACCATATATAGAAAGTATGACAATATATTTTTCATATTAATTTAAATATTGCTTGGTTGGGCTATGATTGACCCATTTGTTTGGGTGATTTTTCAAAATAAACAAAAGATTGGGTTTGTATGAAACCCACTATTTTATAAATGCTAATTTTATATTTGTGTTATTTATTTAGAAAACTCGAATAACATTGATGATATTAATATTATATCCCCAGTGAATCCACTTGAATATTGGAGAGTTAATGCTGTAAAATTTCCAACTTTATCAACACTTGCACGTAAATTTTTGGCTCCTCCAGCAACAAGTGTCCCATCTGAGTCTGCCTTCAGTACGGCAGGGGATATTGATAGTCCTCATCGTAGAAGCCTATTGCCTGAAAATCTAGAGGCTCTTATATTTATTTAAAAAAATCTAATATATTATAATTTTATATATTAAATATTACAATTTTATAAACCAACATAAAATGGATATATTATTATATATATTTTTTTAAATTATTGTTGAAATAAAAAAATTAAATTATGCATAAAAAATATTGATTTATTAATTACATTTGGTTCAAAGAGGGGTGGTAAAAAATTAATATAAATATCGGATCGGTATCGGATCGGATTTGAACCAATATCGGAAAATATCGGATCGGATCGGTAAAAAATATGTGGATCGAAAAATGATATTTTAATTAATAAAAAATATAACATATATTATATAATAATGTATTTAATCCTTTGCGTATTTATTCCATACTATGAGTGTTAGCTAGTGTTAACTTTCACCAAACATTATATTAAATAACTATAAATAATCATTATAACCATATCTAAATGACGAATAATAATAATTCATGTTGTATAAATTTTTTTAAAAAATACGGCCCGGCCCAGATTTTTAAAAAAAATTTTCAGGCCCAGCCCGGGTATACTTTGAAAATTTAAAAGGGCCGGGCCTGCAGGTCTCTGATATTAATAAACTAAATATAAAAGAAAATTACCAAAAACAATTTGTAAGAAAGGACTTAAAGTAAATAAAAATCATGAGAATTTTAATTTCATTATTAACAAAGATATCAATATCTCCAATCGGGAGGGTTAATGCTCAAAGGTTTCTAACTTTGGCAAACCATGCAATTAAATATTTGGCATCTCCTTCCTGCAACAAGTGTTCCATCAGAATCAGCATAGTCCTCATAGAAGAATATTACTATCATATAAACATTAAGAATGTATCTTTATAAAGAAAAATACCCAATATTATATATTTGTTTTTACTCTTATTTAAAATAAAGATACATAGTTTGTTATACAGAAAATTTAATATGAATATATATACATATATATTGTGCCAGATCTAAATATATATATATTTTCATTAATGCTAAAATAGATAAGTTAAAATTCTGATCATCATTAAAAAAAATAAGACATTATTTACTATAAATACAAATCTTTCTACAAATTTATAAGACATTTGAGACTTTTTGATTTATAAGAACTGGGATAATATATTCTCATTAAAATGTTTAAAAAAAAATTATACACAGATTTTTTTTCATTACAAAAAAATTGTAGATGTCCTATCAATGTCTAAAAGATACATTTCCAATTCTTTATTATTTGTCAAATAATTTTTATAAAATTGTTCATATTATTCAAAATAATTTGTAAATGAAAATTTCAAAAATACTCTTAATTATTTTAAATTATTCCTATTATTTAACATGTATTTTGCGGAACTTTTTATTTTTTTAATGTTTTTTTTTAATTTTAATAATCCATCATTTTTTCATTTTTGAAAATATTTTTAAATAATTTAATTTTAGAATCAAATCGAATAATACTTTAATTATTCGTACAAAAATGATTTCATTTGTACGAATATACAATTATTCCTTTCAAAAATACAAATAGAAATGTAAATATTTGATTTGATTCAAATACTTATAGGTATAATCTAGGGTAACCATGGAGCTTGAATCACATGGAGTGGAGAAAGAGCTTATATTGATAAAATAAATGATATTAGTGGCATATCAATAACACTTTTGGGTGCCAATTCAACATCACTAATCTAATTTTGTTTTAAAAAACATACTATCATCTAATTTTAATTAAATAGGTTTATTTATTTGGCAAATTTTAAATTAAGATTTTAAGCAAAATAATATTATGCAAGCTTCAAGATTTCTTTAATTGATAAACGTTTTGACATCTATGAGCAAAATTTCCAGGCTTGTGTCATTTTTATTGGCTAAAATAATGGGTTAGCCATTTTAAAAATTGTAACACTCATTCAGTTATATTTATCAATTATAGTATAATCATTGTAATTTGTTTTTTGTTCCAAAAGTCTTTCTATCAATGTAGAAATTAGAGTAGCATCTAGTCTATTCATGATCATTATAAATTGTTAGAATTTTTTTAAAATTCTTTAAGTTTTAAAATTATATAAAATGTGAAATGATGCCTTCTGTAGAAAGGGGGGGGGGTCTAAATAAGTTAGAGTACCACGTGCCAGAAAATGAACAATTTTATTAACATCAATTTTCTAGAAAACTAAGAGATTTAAAAAAGAGATTTACTTTTCTCATTTGCATAATAATGAATAAAAATCATTTTATTTAAAAAAAAATTAACTTAGTGAGAAAATATGATCACATGAATTTGTCATTTATAATAATTTATTTTTTTAAATTGACTATCATTTCAAAAATTAAGAACATTTTTATCATACTTTACTTTATATTCAATAATTTTAAAAGAAACAAACTTTAAATCTTAATTGTGAATCATTTAACTCATGGGACTTCCAGTCATCAGTCAATTTTAGGCCCAATATCTCTTCAGCAATAGCCTTGATAATATGTTCTACATTTTCTGGTGGTGTGTAAGGAATAGTGGAACTTTTCACACTAAATCATAAGTTAAATATATTATTATATAAATAACAGACCCATATGCTTTATTCCTTAATAACGTTTCTTCCACTGTTAAATTTGAACGTTTGCAAAATTCATTAGTTGTTTGCAAAGCATCTTTAGTCTCTGTTACTTCAGAATTGCCTTTAATCAATTTTTTAATTAGCGAGACATTTCTTATAATTTGTATCTATATTGTGCAGTCAACAATTTTATTTTTTATATTTTATTGTCACTTGATAATATCGATGCAATATCTTGGGCAAAAGCATATTAGACGCAACATACTTGTTCATGATTATAAGGAATTTTAATATTATCTTATCTTATCTAGCACGTTGTCATAGACCTGCCCATAATGAGCGAACGTGAATTTTATGAAGGCCCACCTTTCATAAAATTATGCCGATTTTTTTCTCAAGGAAACCAACAAACCTTGTACCCAGTTGTAATTTAACTTAATAAGTGGAACTTACCCTTATTAAAAAATCTTGCTAATAAAATACGACTTTTCACAAATGAACCAAGAGAATTCCTTTTTATTCGACAAAAAATTCAAATAGAAATTTTTAGACACAATTATGGTTCCTTTTTGGGGACTCAATTATAGAATTTTATTTTTAATTATATAAGTATAATTTATAAATTATAATATTTTTAATTAGGTGTTATGTGAAATAAATAAATATCATTAGATTTAATAAATTATTATTATAAAGAAATATAAATCTTATCTGTTTTTTAGTCTTGAATAACCATATTCATGATAAAGAGTGAGTTAAGTAAAATAAAAGTAAATTATTATGAAAGTAAATTAAATTGAAAGTAAATTAAAATGAAAGTAAATTAAAATGAAAGTAAATTAAATTGAAAGTAAATTAAACTGAAAGTAAATTAAATTGAAAGTATCTTTAAATTGAAAGCATCTTTAAATTGAAAGTATCTTTAAATTGAAAGTATCTTTAAATTGAAAGTATCTTTAAATTGAAAGTATCTTTACCTTTATTAATTATATATTTTCTTTGTCCTTCTCTAATTTATGAATCCTTATTAATTATATATTTTCTTTGTTTCTTCACTAATTTATGAATCTTTATTAATTTATATTTTCTTTTTCTCTTCAATAATTTATAAATCATCAAATTTTCTTCTTTTTAAACAAAAATAATATATTCTATCTCCTTTTCCTTTGTTGCCACTGTATTTTTCTTTTTCCACAAAAATAAACAAATACATGGCTACAACAAGTTCGTAATATATATATTATAATCATTTAAAATACGATTAATTTTTATCATTCTAATACAACAATAAATAATAATCATTTAAAATATAATGTATCTTTATTATTCTAATACAACATTAAGAATATTTGAATCCATAGACATCAAAATTCCATTTCATTTGTTAAGTCATATTCTTTCAAAAAATGAACCGAAAAATCTTCGCCATTTGGGGTGGATAATAAAGTCATTTTACATGCAGATGTTAACATATAATAGATTATATTTTCTCCCGTTGAGATATTTATTTAACTTTGTAAGGATCATCAGTTGACACGTGTCACCACCCAAAAATAAATGATTTCCTGATTAATTAGAAAATTTATCACTGAATTATCGAAAAAGGATTTTTTAAATAATATGCAATATTTTTCAAGAAGAGGGTTGGAGATCTCGCTTGCCCTGCTTTCCCTCCCTGAGAGATATTATTTACAAAAAAATTTGTTTTTATACAATTTATTTTTAAAATATTTCTTAATACTTGTTATTTGTAAAATAAATGTAAATGTGTGTGCATTCGTTTTCAGTATATATTTGTATAAATACTTGATATCAGTGATGGCTCAAATAAAGAATATTATTGTCATCGGGTTGTTTTGTAAATATTTAAGTATAAATTTCATACAAACACAAAGTTAATTAACCACTATCAATTAACAGATTACTTCTTCTTATATTTTTTTTCTGCTTTTAGAGTTTATATTTATCACAAAAAAATACAACAACAAATAAATAAGCTCGCTTATTAAAATCTCTATAAAAATAAACACTCAATTTTACTTATTAATGAGATGCCATCATCTAGGATTGGCAAATCAATCAATTATCGTAGGAGTATTTGATCTGGTCAAATATTCTAAAACATCTGAAAGAGAAAAATAATTAAAAATATGTTGAATAAAGAAAAAACGATATAAATATATGTGATGATCACAATCGTGCTTATATGTGATGATCACAATCGTGTTTAGTTATTGGATGCTAATATTAGGAGTACATTATTAGTAGTGAGTATAACATGCATGTAATGTAATACAATAATTTAATATTTTACAAAGTGTTTATGATAAATATTTCAAGTGATATCATAAATTCAGAAATAAGGGAAATGGCATTTTACTAACAATTCCTATTTCTACTTCTTCCTCAGGGAGAAATTAATCGATTCGGGTTGATATTCAATCGAATAATAGAAATAGATTGAAGAATTCGACAACAGGAAAATAATTGATTAAATATATTAAAGAGGATAATATTAAATATGAATTGGAACAAGATTCTGCTATGGAGAGAAAATCACATTTTAAAAATATTATAAAATCAATATTACAGATTTATCTTACTATTATATTATTGTCTTAAAAAATATTTATTTGAATTTGACCGGTCAAATACATAGCCCTGCTGTCATCCCTCTATAATTCGGGCCCTGATAGTAGGGTAAATTACTACCACAACTAGAAACTAATCGACAGCATTAGATAGGCAGTGGATATGATATCACTAAATTATGAAAGAAAATATAAAATTGAATTAAAACCAAACTACTCTTATGCAATATAAATCAGATAAGAGGGAGAATTTGAATCTGTAACTTTCCCCCTTATATGTTTACCAAAGATCCCTTTAACCCTCTAATAAATGAAAGATGCTGACTATATTTAAAAAATACATTATATACTTTTTCAATTTTCGTTCTTTCTTTCCTTATAAAATCATAGGATATCACGTGGGTAGCCAAACAGTGTCTTCTTTAGAAAAAAAATTAAAGGCAACAAGCCTATATTTATTTTCTATCCCACCCCAATTAAATTTCCTTTTCCTCTTCTAAGCTTAACTAATACCCCCTGAAAGGTAAGGAGACAAATGTAAAAACTGATTGAACTTTTTTTCGATGTTGTCCTCCTTAAGGGGTGACAGAACTACTATATGGACCTAATTGGACAATACATCATTATATTTAAGTAATGTTTCTAAATTGCTAGAAATTTATAAAAATTATAAATAAATAATAATTTTGCTATAAACAAGTTTGAAAATTTTTTTAAAAATTTATATTGCATAAAAAATTTAATCATAATAAAAAAAAATAGAATAAAATTTACAGTAAATTACAACATACCAAACCAAGTTATTAAATTTTTGAAAGATTTTATATTTCTTTTTATTAAATATTTCTTCCATACTAAAAATTTGCGTTTTAAATTTCCTGAAATGTCATTCGCAATCCCATTTGCTATATTAATATAATAACGAAGCTCATAAAGGTTTCCGTAAAATCATTCTTCAAAATGGTATTGAATATTAAAGATACCCTGTTTTTTATATTAAAGAAAGAAGATTAGCCTGAATTAAATAATAAAAATTTTTAAACGAACTCCGTACGACTAGTAGTAAATTTATGAATTAAAATCAGTTTTTTTTTAAAAAAAAATGGGGTTGTAAGGGTTTAAAATTATTACACTATAACTTTTATCAGGTGGTGGAAATCATAAAAAAAAATTAAAATTTTTTAATATTTCGATAGGTATCTTTTAAATTTATATAAATAAGGCACGATATAAATTTAAGATTAAGTTGAGTATTAATTAGGAATCAAGCTAAAAAATGGCTAATTAAAAAAAAAATTGAAATGTAAAAAACAGAGTATAAATAGTAATTTTAACGTGAATGGTAATGTGGGTTTAATTTAAATACCATATATAAAGGAAAGAAGTTGAAGTGCTAGATAATAATTAAAGTGCTTCCTTTTCTTTTATCGAAAATTTTTTTTTTCGGAAGCAATAAAGGTCAAGTTAATTTAAATACTTTATTCCTTACTAAAATAAAGGTAAGGTTTAAAAACACGGCCTTCAGACGCTTAGTTAAAAAATTTATTAAATAATTACTTTGTAATAAAATATGAATGGAAAAGAGTCCAAAATATATTTTATGATGATAAATATATTGTTTCATTAGAATTCTTAGTAACAATTATTTTGACAAATCAAAAAATACTTTACTTTATGATTAGTTTTAACACAATTTTAATACTCTAATTGACTTCGATGATTAATATTATAGCAGGTAACAAAAACGATTGATTTTATTCATAACAAAATACAAATTAATTTCTTAAAACTATTTTTTTTTTAATTGACAGGAGGCCACCATTTTTCAGAATAGGATTTCCTATAGCGTTCCTTGCACCATAATTCATCAATTCTAAATAATAATGATATATAAATGGTTTTCCCTAACAATCATATATAATATTTAAGAATATATATGTAAAAAAGAAAGTAATCAGCTGATTTATCGGCATTCCTGTTGGGAGGAAAAATCTAAATTTACAAATATACCCTTAATATATTTTTTTCTTCTTGTTATAAGATTTCCTCAATTTTGTGCAAATGCCAATATTTTTGTTATTACAGGAATCCCAAAATGTAAGATTATATATATAATATAAACTTTTCAACTAGGTTGGCATCTTTACATTTTCTATACAAGTCCAATAAAATCCGCTTGGTCTCCTTAACATATGCTACATGTCTCTCGATATCCAAAGAAAATTTAGGTTGCATTCTATCCACGTAATCAAATATCACGTGAGCGGCGTTAACGTGATCTAACATTATTTTTATTTGCACAAACATCATTTAGCGATTCGAAAAAATAAACTTTTATATTTTGTAATTATTATAATAACTCAATGATCAAAATATAATGTTTTTTAAAAAAAATTAAAGATCCCACATTCAAAGAATCAAAACGAAACATACATACTTTATAATTCCTACTAAACAAATCAAAAATTTAGCAAAAAAAGTTTTAAAAAAGTGAGAATTTTTTGGAAAAATTCAAAGTTATAAAATGGTTTGCTAACAAAGTGTGTGGGGAATCAGAATTGGGGAATCAGAATTGGGGTATCATGACCTAAATAAACGGGGGAGGGAGGGATTCATAGAAAGAAGGAATTATGGTTGATAATTAGTGTGAGGAATCAGTAACTTAATTTGGCCTAAATCAACTGGGGGAGGAGGTTAAGTAAAACATTATAAAAAAATTAAAATGCTCTAAAAAAAGGACGATTTATCTGACTCAAATTAAAATATATAACATGAGATCGTTAACACTGAAGTGAATTAAGAAACATTTACATATTTTATGATAGGGGATTTAGAAATTTCAGGGATATGCTTCATTCCTGTATTTTTTTTTAAACAATAATTATTTTATGAGAGGGTTTTTTTGAAAAATTTTGGATACCCCTTATTTTGCGGGGATCGTATACCATGTAGTGTTGCTAAACATGGCTAACTCAATATTTCATTTAGATAAATATTAAGCAAGCCTGAAGATTTCGTTAATAGATGGCACAAAGGTTTGGAGATCTATTTTCGAAATCTCGAGACGTAATCAGCATTATTCTGGCTAAAATACTGAGTTTTACCTTTTTATAATGCCTCAAATCGAGTCGTTTAATAACAAACCAACATGTATTGAAAATATGTTATGTATTTCTTTAAATTTCATCCCTTTTCATCAAATTATAGATTAATTGTTTATATTTGATCACTTTCAAAATCTGTTCATAAGCAATTAATATAAGCTAAGAGTAGTTTAATAACTTGCGGCAAAAAAATCTGAAGGTTCACGGTATGGGTAGGGCACCTAAATAGGAGCTTCGAAAAAATTTAAGGATAAAAAAATGCTCGCTTTTTTAAAATTTGGTTAAAGCCTTCTAAACGACACACACACATATATATATAAATGTAAGAATTTTATAACTTTTAAAACCTTGTGATGATAGTAACTTGTCACAATAAGTAAAAATTAAGGGATTTGTAGGATCCTTAGAACAAAGCACCTAAATATGATGTTTTTTTTAATTAAAAAAGAAATATATTTTTGAGAAACTATGAATATGTCAAATCGGATATTATATAAAGCAGAACAGAGGTAACAATTGCATGGTCCGGCATGGGCATATTTAAAAAAAATTAAAATACGGCCCAATGTGGACACACAGGTCTGCATGTCTCTGATATAAAATAAATTATGAATTGCTTAAATAGATATTTTGTAATTTTTTTTTGGTAATATTCAACATACAATCTTAATTATTAATAATTATTTTTGAGGAAAATTGTAACCTTTTTTTATAAAACTGTATTTAAAATATCAAAAAATTTAATATAAGATTTTAATTAAAACATTCGAAATTTAAAAAAAAGGATTTTGAATATAGCCTAAACAATTTAAATTTTGGGAAGTTTTTTCTTTTCGAATTAACATATCAGGAAGGAGTAAACTCAACCAAAATTTACCAAGTGATAATTAAGGCTCAATAATTTTCATATATCAAAATATGTGGACTTATCATTAAAAATGTTTTATAAAAAAAACTGATTCAAATATATATGATAATAATCACATTTAAATTTCAAAATAAATGCTAACAAAACTAATAAATTACTTTCAAATGAGACATTTCCAATACGTTGAAATTCCGACCGTTATCTGAGCTGAGAAATTCGCCATATTGTTGGTAAAAATTGAAAGCCATCAGTCTGTAGGTCCACATGTCAGGATAAATTTCGATCATTTTATTTAACACCCCTTCGGATTTAACGTAGTCACGATTGTATAACAATAGCTGTAAAAAAAAATTGGATTAAATGTCGAATTAAACAATTTTTTTGAAGTAATTATGATAAATATTAATATACAATTTTTTTTCAATAACAACTAAACATTAAAGATAAAAGTTAAATTTGGGAACCCCTAAATAAGCGTCTATAAATGTTTCCCAGGCCAAGTAGGTATAACTTTCCCCTTTCATCACGATGGAAACCGTTAAATTAAAAGTCGAATCGAAACAATTGTCGAAATTTTTGAGTATCTTGTCCAAATCTCGATTAGCGTAATTGTGTGGCGGGTTATTCTCCATTTTGCTTAAGGTAGTAGGAGATAATTTTGGGGGGATAATTTGGGAGGGGCTAGATGGCGTTAAATAGTCCTTGATAACCTTGGAACGCTTAGTGAGAGCTAGGAAAGTTCCGGAAATCTCTTGACTCAATTCTAAAGGGTCTAGAGCTGGTACCTCTTCGTCTTTAAAAAGGGATGGGACCGGTTTCGAGTCTCCTGAAGTATATTATAAAATTGCAAGATATAATTTTAGATATAAATTTGATTTTTTATCATCCTAACAAATATCTCAGAATATTTCGACAATTGTTATAACAAATTATGTAAAATATTTTTAAAAAAAGTTTCCATTTTTCAAATATAAAATCAAAGAATATATAGATATAACTGAGTAAGGTTATGTGAAAAACCAATAGAAAAATTGATCAATCAGTAGTAAAAAAAAATAAAGAGCTACCAGAAAAGCAAAAAAATGTTATTAAATTATTGTAAAATTCGTTATAAAATGAGAGATTTTTTTCTAAACAAACGAGGCTAAGTTTTTTTTTTGAAACTAAAATTCAGTGACTTAATATATCAATGCTAAATAAAAAAATTAACAAAGAAATAGTAAATCATCTGCAATTGGCGGGTTTTAGCCAACAAGCCCACCCACCCCTCATCCATGATTTATCAATTTACCCGCCCCCCCCTTTATCTACAATTTTTAACCCGCCCAGTCCGCGCAATGTTTAAAAATTATTTTAATGGCTGGGTTGGGTCTTTATTTATTTCCATGTACCTTATAAAATATACAATATTATGAATCAAATATGATAAAAATGATTTTTAATACTCCGCACATTTCGCCGGGAAAATATTTAATATTCGCCTGCCCATCGCCCGCCATCATCTCAGTTTTTCAAATAATTAAATTTAATTTTAAGTATTGTAAAGAAAGTTCTAATCGAATTACTAAGAATTAGCTAGCTACACTATAGTATAATTTTTTTTTTTAGAAAAAAATAAATATCGAAACTAAAATTATTTTGATGCCATTTTTTCCCCGCTTTAAATTAGGGGTGCAAATAAATATATTTCCAATTCTGAATTAATTTTTTTCTCTTTGCTTTGAAGATGTTCATTAACATTTTTTTTTTCCAATTACAATGATTGTCAATGAAGTTAAAAATTAAATAGACAGTCCGATATGATTTGGCAGAAAAATCTTGAATTTACATTTTCCAAATATACATAATTCTAACGATTCAAAATAAAATTTCAATCCTCTAAAAAAGAGGGTTCAGATTTGGTTAGGGTTCAGGAAAACTATCCGGGTATTGATCGATGAATCAATTTTAATTTTCTAAATTTTATTTATGAATCTTCAAGGTTTCATTAATTCATAAAAAAATAAAATGCTATTTTTCTTAATTTTTGCTAGTAAATCAAAAATATTCGTGAAAGTTTGTAATTGAAATTAATTTACTATTTATTTTTATTAAATAATAATAATATTTTTTTTTTTTAAAAATTCGAAAAATTCTAAAACTTTCAGAAATTTTAAAATTTCAATGAATTATAGATTTTTGGGATGTTTTTATTTTTATATTAAAAAATGTTTATAAAGTTTGCGAATCAAATTTTTTGATATTATGGACACATCTTGATAGAATCAAAATGCAAAAAATATATTTAAAATAATTAGACCAAAAACAAATCTAAAGCCATTTAAATAAAAAAAATTTTTGATTGGCGGGTTCTGCAAAATAGCCTCGAGAAAAATAAGGCTTTTTCTTTATAATTTGAATGGTGAGTTACATAGTATTTTTTTTTAGTACTTTGGTGCGAAAAATCGAAAACTTATTTCGATTTTAAAAATTTTACTTCTCCCTCATATGTCACTAGCGAGATAAATTTAATATCGTTTTTTTAGACAAACTAAATTTAAAAAAAAATATGGAAAGGATCTTTAAAAAATAAGTTATATGATTAATGTAAATTCATAAGAAAGCCTGCATTTTTATAGACTCGGCTCAAGTGTTGATGATATACTGGTTCTCCGGTGTCATCCTTGCCTATGAAAGAGTTTGAAAAGCTTGCGAAGGATGAAGATGTGGAGTTGAAAAGTTGTTCGAAGAAATTATTCTCGTATGAAGGGTCGCCTATCTCAGTCATTGGTAAAATTATTAATTGTAAGGTCAAATTTCTAAATACGATTATATATTTAGATTTTTATGTTTTGGAAGGGGAGAGATCAAAGAATTTGATTTGATTAGATTCAATTTTGATTTTAATACTAAAGAGTTAGGAGATAGGGTAAATTTTGTAACTTTTAACAATCCTTGTAAAAATAATGACAAAATTGATAGAGGGAATTTGGTTATTCAGTCAATGTTTATTAAAAAAAATTGTTATGATTTTAATTATGATATTAATAATTTAGTTAAAAGGTTTGATTGTGTTTTTAATAATAAAATAGGCAAAGTAAAACATTTAAAAATAAATATTTTGTTAAAAGATGATTTTAAACCAAGATTTTTGAAGGCCAGGAGAGTACCCATCAATTATTACTAATCCATAATAATTCTTAATGGGTTCAAAAAAATCAATAAAAATACGATACCAGGGTCTGCTCGGATCTACCCAATGATTTAACCCTTGGTAATTTTGGAGCATTTACCATACACATATTACACCTAAAAACCATTTCCTTGATGTCTCTTTTAACCCCGGGCCACCAAAAATATCTTTCCATAAATATCAATCATCCTAGACAAACCTATATGTCCCTCATAAAGAACATTTAGAATCTCTTTTCTTAGCGATTGGGGGATAACAATCTGCTCTGCCTTAAAAATACAATCATTTTTAATAATCAACAACTTACCTAACTCCATATATACTTTAATCTGTGTGAAATCTCCCGCTTCATTCAAAATAAATTGTTTAACTTTGATAAGTTCTAAATCGACCACAGTCTCTCTTCTTATCATATCTAAATTATTCAAAATTCTCTGGTCATTTAAATCAATACCAATATTAAAAAAACAAATAACATCTTCCTTTATTAACCTAGATAACCCATCAGCAATAAATTGATCTTTACCCCTCCTATAATTAATGTCAAAATCAAAACTCGGCTAAACAAAAAGCCCATTTCTGTAGCCTTGGCGACATATTGTAAAGTTTAACCGGATCTGTTCCAAACAAATTAACTAGAGGTTTATGATCCGTAAAAATTTTAAAATTCCTCCCTACTACATATTTCCTCCATTTCTTAACAGCCACAACAACCGACAATCCTTCTTTCTCAATAATCGAATATCTTTTCTCAGCACCCGTCCATGCTTCTGACATAAACTCAATCGGCCTTTCAAGACCATCCTCTTCAACATGAAATAAAACAGCACCCATACCTTTATTAGAAGCATCAGTAGAAATATAAATTTTTACTTCTGTCATAATGTTCAAGAATTGGTGCATTGCTCAATCTTTCTCTAATCTCATCAAAACTAGTTTTTTCATTAATTCCCCAATAAAAATTTTTGCCCTTTTTAAGCAATTCATATAAATTAGATGCCAATTTAGAAATACCTTCTATGAACCTTGAATAATAATTCATCAGACCCAACCACGAATGCAATTATTCCTTACTCTTAGGTTCAGTCATGGTACTTATCGGATCAATCTTTTCTTTAATTGGCTGTATACCTTTGTCACTTATCAAATAACCTAAATACTTAATAATCTCTTTGTAAAATTCACTTTTTTTAATATTTCCAATCAAACCAAAATCCATCATTCTTTGAAATACCTTTTTCAATTTATTAAAATAATCTTCCTTATCCTTACCAAAAATTAATAAATCATCTTAATACATAACCCCGTTAATGTCAGCAAAAATTTCATCCATGGTCTTTTGGAAATAAGCAGTCGACACTGTAAGTCCAAAAGGTAATCTATTAAATTGAAAAAGACCTTTATGGGTTGAAACGGTTAAAAATTTGGAAGTTTCTTTAGAAATAAATATTTGCAAATAAGCCGAGGAAAAGTCTATTTTTGAGAATAATCTGCCTTTTCCGACCTTAGTAATAATGTCACTTATCCTTGGCAGCGGATATTCAAACCTTTCTAACTGTGGATTAACAGTGACCCTAAAGTCAGCACAAACTCTCAAAGCATTATCCTTCTTTTTAACCAAAACTAAAGTTGTCGCCCATTGGGAAAATATAACATGGGTTATTATGCCCTGTTGACACCATTGTTCTAGAATGTTACCTAACTCTTCTTCTAATTCAAACGGTACACTCCTGGCCTTCAAAAATCTTGGTTTAAAATCATCTTTTAACAAAATATTTATAAATGTTTTACTTTGCCTATTTTATTATTAAAAACACAATCAAACCTTTTAACTAAATTATTAATATCATAATTAAAATCATAACAATTTTTTTTAATAAACATTGACTGAATAACCAAATTCCCTCTATCAAATCTGTTATTATTTTTACAAGGATTGTTAAAAGTTACAAAATTTACCCTATCTCCTAACTCTTTAGTATTAAAATCAAAATTGAATCTAATCAAATCAAAATATAGACCACATAAAGGTGGTCCCTCCCCTTCCAAAACATAAAAATCTAAATATTTAATTGTATTTAGAAATTTGACCTTACAATTAATAACTTTACCAATGACTGTGATAGGCGACCCTTCATACGAGAATAATATCTTTGAACAACTTTTCAACTCCATATCTTCATCCTTCGCAAGCTTTTCAAACTCTTTCATGGGCAAGGATGACACCAGAGAACCAGTATCTATCATCAAAGAAAAATCATAATTATTAATTTGAAGGTCAATCATAATATCATTAATAAAATTAATTTTATTTCTTGGCCTTAAATTATAAGGTGTTTGTAGGTCCTACCATTATGCTTGTTTTCATTCCATGTCGTATAGCATTATGCACCATATCTGTCATCTTTTCTCCATGTATCTTTTTCAATGAAGGACTTTTTATTATTAATCTCCAATGATTGACATTTGACAACAATCTCCTCAATGATAATCAAGTCTGTCGTGTTTTCTTCTATCAATCTTGTTTTTAATCTCTCATTGTGACAATTAATAATGAATTGAACCGCTATCAATTCTGAATTAAGGCCAGATCCGCACGTCTTCAGCCTATCCAGATATTTTCTGGATGATTCTAATCTATCTGGTTAAGCACTAAAAACTTCTATTATACGCGTAATTTTGTTCTTTTCAACTTTTTTTTTGTATTAAATCCTTAATTTGCTCATATGATAAATTATCAATCGAATCCATTATACTCACCGCCAAATCTTTATTTATTGTCTCGAAAAGTTTATATTTCTTAGTGGGTTCATCAGTTATGTTTTCGGCAATAAATTTTAGGTCAAGGGTTTTGAGTAAGACTTTTATTTTATTATGCCCCTATCCTTCACCATGAGACAAATAAAGAATAATCGCGCTAAGAATAAGAATATGTAAGTCTGGTTGTGCTAAAACGAATAAGTAATAGGATAAGAATATGGAAGTCTGGTTTCGTTTGCTTTAGAATAAATAATAACGATATCTCCAAATAATAATAAAAATGCGATTAAATTTATTCTTTTATTAGTGTTTAAATAAAACGCAAATATATATATATCAAGTCGTTAAAAAAGTAATTTTTATTAACAAGTAAAATTATTGCGTGCATAGAAAGTCAAAAACATTAAATATATATATATATATCTAGTAAATCAATTGATGGTTTGAGGCTTCGTATGTAGAAATAAAATAATATATTATTTAGTGAATGTTTTTGTATATGTAAATAGTCATAGTTTAAAGCTTCAATTAACTTTGTATATTATGATATTAAATTATATTATGCAACAGTTAACTCGTAGAATCAATAATATTTTTGCCAATTGTCAATAAAAAAAACCTTTTTCTTGATCACCAGTGACCCATTTGTCCAGTATGGAAGTTAAGCTATGCATTGTGTCATTATTATAACGGGTATCGACTTCCTTTGCTGCATTTGTAATCACGTGATCATTAGAAGAATCCAATAGAATTTCTTCCATTTCCATTTTTTCTTCAAATAAAAATTCCGAATCATCGTCAACTTTTAAAAGCGAATGTAATTTGATATGGTTTTTATTGTGGACTTGGATGTAGAGCGCCAACTCGGCTAGAACTTTGTATTGATTAATCAAAACTATGAGCAATTTATTGTACTCTATCCTATTGTGATTCAATATTTGAGAAGATTTGAATTGGCTTTCTAAACGTTTCTTAGCTCCCCTTTTTGGTTTGTCTAATTTCTGTGGGTTTTTTTTAATTTAAAAAAGTAAAATATTTCAGGATTATTTGAAGAAATATATAAAATTAACTTGTTTAAAAGAGGTAACAGTTGTGTAAAATTATGGATAATTAAGAAATGCTTCTTAAAAAAGTTATGATTATTTTGATTTAAGAATTTAAAACAATTATTATGATAAAACATTACTTCTGCTATTTGAGTCACTTTATCATAATTTTTATGTTTAATGTGGTAAAGAATCTGTTGCAAAATTACTTCTGTTTTGAGAATTTCACTAAAATTCAGGCATGTGCTAACATTGTAGTTGTATATTGTATAAATAATAGAAAAAATTAGATTTAATCTTTCACATTCATCATCTAAAATAATATAAAGTCTTAGGTCACAATTAATATTTTCAATATTTCTTTTATTCAAAATTTATACTGGCAATTAATTATAAGTAGTGTAATGCCTTGATCAATTTTTAAAAATGGCATAAATTTTAGTATAAAAGCCTCGAGATTTGGAAAATAGATGTTCAAACCCTCCTGGCTCCTAGAAGTAAGTTACATATATATTATTTTGATTATGTTAATTAGATAATTTTTTAATTAGCCTGAAATCAAATCGATATTTTTAATAACACTAATTATAAGGAATTGAGCATAAATATGTTTATTCAATATCTAATAAACTGTTGATTTATAAGTGTATAGATAATTTTGCTAATTTCTAATGTGTGTGATACTTACATAATAATAAAAACTAACAGTAATTAAAATATAAAAAAATACTCTGAAAATTCTTCAATTAAGTTGGCATTTGAATTCGGATCATTAATTAACAAATAAAATCCTGCCTAAAATAGATAAATATAATTTTCACATCAAAAATTTATACTTTCCATATTGCTTCCTGATTATCTTTAGTTGGAGTTACTGATAACTCTTTAAGTAGTTTAGCAGCTAATTCCCATTCATATTTCATTAATGAATCATACAAGGCATTTCTTATAAATTTGTAGGAAAACTTATAGATTGGATTTGCAGGATATTTGGTGGGCAAATAATCTAAATTTATAATAAATCAACTTAATAGTTTACAATTAATAATAACTTTTGCATATTTGATTTAAATAATCAAATATTTCCATTCACGAGATTTTTAAAATAATGAGTGAATGGTTAGATCCATACCATACCTGCTGATAATAATTAAAAGTATGGGCATTATAATAAATTTAACTTCGTATATTCAAATTACTCAATTCTTATAAGCCAATATTTATGCATTTTACAATAAAACTAATTCTCATAATAACCTTATATTGTGACCTTATTCAAACAAACACCTTAAGTTAAGATTATTTTGTATAAAAAGATTATTTTAAGTTGCAAAAATATATTCAAATATATCAATTATAAAAGTATACAATGGCTGAATGTAGATAACAATGATCATTATCTACATGAACATAAGGGGGGAATAGGAGCTATTTGCTTTCATATAACATTGATGGATATAAAGAGAAAGCGCCCAAGAAAGTGCAGAGTAAAATACTTTTTGGGTATGAGAAAACTTTAGACATGTTACCCCCAACTTTGATTCTCTTATATAGAGACTGATAATTTATATATTTATATATAAATTTAAACTATGCTAAAGTGTCTTTGTATAGACTAATCTTTTTTGACAATTTTTTCCTATATTCACCCATATTATCCAAACTAATCACATAACCTTTGTTATATTTATTGATATTATTTCTTTAAAAGCTATTTTTATTTATCTATTTTAGATAATTTTTAAGATACATTTTGAAATACTTTTATTTAACACTTTTTTATATTAAAAATATAAATATTTTAATGCAAAATTTTTATTTCATATGAGCATGTAATTTGAATATTTATATATTAAAAAAATATGGTAACTCACTGAAACTCGGGAAAATTTTTAATATTAATATTTTTTTTAAAATAAAAAATAATTTTTTTTTACTAAAAAAATAATAAATATGCGATCACACAAATTTTAAAATTTAATATTTTTTCGAGTTATCACAATATTAATGAAAATGTATGATTATTACTCGATCAATCACAGCAGAAACTTTATAGACGGGATCTTAAGGCGAGCATCCACAGAACTGAAAAAAAATCTTCCCCTCTATATATATATGTGAATATTCTTATTTTCGCAATATTAAAATATTTCAAATTTAGTAAATTAATTAAATATTTAAATGATATAAATTTATATAGAACTATTTATGTTTTATAATATATATCTATATATTATCAGTTTATATATTATGTTTATTCAAATAAATTGCTTAATTATCTAGTATTTGATTTAATGTCCAACTTAGTAGCATCCAATATAGCATACGCCTTTTTAAAATTTTGAAATAATTTAATGTTAAATAATTGTGAAAATTTTTACAAAAAAAATTATAGTCCTAATATAATACACACCTTTTCCAATCTTATTAATTAAAGAATTGTGAAAATTTTTACAAGAAAAGAATATGGAATTCTTAAATCTTTTGAGTAATGAAACTTTGAATTATTATTACATCAAAAAATTTCTACCCATATCCACATGATCACATATTTATTATTTTTAAATAAAAAAAATATTTAAAAAAAATATTTCCCTGAGTTTCAATGAGATACCAAAAATATTAAGACTAATATTATAAAAAATATATAAGTAAAAAAATATTAAAACTTATATATAAAATTATTAAAATATATAAAATATTAAAACTTTATATATAAAATAGTAAAACTTATATATAAAATATTTAAGCTTATAAATATATATAAAAAAAATATTTATATTCATTAAATATTATTTTTTTTCCACATTTAAATCTATGGATATCAGTTTAAGATTGTGAAGGATATATTTATCATGTACGTTAAAAAGACGTACACAAATGCAAACGCTCAATTTGATCGCACTTATAAAGGAATATATAAATCCTTGCTTAGCCATCTAGTAAATAGCATTGAGTACAAAATTATTTTAGGGAAATTATTTAGAATTTTTTTAAAATAATTTTGTACCCTGACCTTTATTGAATAAATTATAAGTATAATATAAAGATTTTTTTGAATGAATGCTTGTTTTAAAGGAGAATTTGTTCGAATGAATGATATAGAGGTATTGACATTTTTTTTATTATTATCTTGTTAACAATTTTGTGTTGTCATAATAAGAGTTTTTATTCGAGAAAAACGACGAACCCTATATATAAGTATGATAGAAATTTGTATCTATCTACAGATACATTTGTAAATTGTATATGTATCTAGAATGTTTTTGAAAGGTCTATCTTTGCCCAGATCCATTTAAAAAGTATATTTTAACAACCCTGAAAATCTTTATCATAATATTTACACACTATAAGATTAAAAACACAATTTCATAATTGTGTTCCCAAAAAAGGAACCATAATTATATCTAAAAATTTCTTCTTAGAACTATAAATCAAATAAGACTTTTACTAACTTTAAATTATCCTTCTAATTTTTAAAGCGTTCAACCTGATTAAAAGATATACATGTCGGGAAATATTGGTGCTAGAGTCATAAAGGATAATTTTGAAGACCTTTTTTTTTAAAAAAAAACACAATGTTTTCTTGTCACAAAAATATCTCCGTATTATTGTAAAAATTTAATATCAAAATGAAAATCCATTTATCTATCCTCATCTATTCCGAAGAACAATTCGCATAACTTTATTTTCTGGGTAGGAGGCTGAAAATAACTATTTAGCATTTCCTAATACTTAAATTTCCTAATTTATTTTATCGTATCGGACTCTAATCTTCAGGAAAAAAAATGGAAATCAAAATCTTATGAAAGACTCTAGTTCCATCTGAGTCCACCTGATAAGAATCTGGTTAGATTGAACAGGAATACGTCAATATAAATATATAATAAGAGTATTCCAAAAAAAATCATTAATTATTTTTAAACAGAGTGACAGGGCACAACCAGTATCCCGGTCTGCAAGTTTCTAAATTTATTAAGAACTATTTATTTTCTTAAATTATATAATTTAAATTTAAAAAAAATAATTTATGCTTTTTATAAACATTTATAGAAATTTTTTACTTTACCATAGTTAACCTTTTAACCATAGTTGGCACTCAGATAGTAATGTATCATAGGATTAACATCCTCACAATAAAAATCTGGCAAATATTTAATTTTTATCTATCAAGATTTGAAATGGCTTCGCAAATTCTGCCATAATAATATTTATCTATTCATTAGGGATACACCTGATTAATATGAAACCTTCTATTCATTTAAATTAGCAGTATCTAAGAAGGGAGAAATTTACTTTAAAGTATTCTTCTGCTGATCCTATATTAATATTAGAACGATGGGTTTCTCTTATGCTGCGTGTAGAGACAGACAAATATTAATTTCATAAAGCTCTGCTTTTGATTTAACAATGACTTGTAATTCATGAAATTTGTCATGTACATTTGCTCTGATTTCCTTAAGTTCCAATTTTAGGTATTCTCATAGTCTCAATCTAATCGATGTTAATTTTTTTGAAATATTTTACTTTAGATTTGCTGTAGAAAAGCTCTAAAACGGAGGGAAATTTTAAAATGATAGTTTACTCGCCCGCTATGGCCATATATCGCTGATTTCCCCTTTATAATAAAAGTATGAAATATTAAAATTAATATGAAAATTTACCATATGCGGGACCTAGTCAAATTCCAAGCAAAAAGATGTTTGAGCAAAGCCGTCTCCTAAGATAAAAAATAACCCTCCATAAAAAAATATTGGCTCTAGGCCGCCAATTTTGACGGACAATAAATCTGAGCCTTTTTAGAGTTAAACAAATCTTACACAAACTTGTCAAATTCTTCAGCCCCTAGCAGTGACTTAATATAAATTATAATCACCATATGGAAAGTGTCATTAAAAATAAAAATTAAACCCATCTTTTATTCACCAATGATTAGAACTTTATTCTTTATTTATTTTAAAAAAAGGGTTCTTATTATGACCAAAATATTGCCCTCTAACTTAAAAACCCTGGATTTTTTTTTAAGAGAATACGTTTTAATTTAGAAATAATGCTATAAGGTTTTAGACTTCTTAAGACTGTTCGTTAAAATAAATGTTCCTTTAAAATATGAGAAAGGGGAGGGGGGAGTGTCTGCAAGTTTCTATTTTGAATTTAAAAGATGTTGATTAAACTATTTTATTCCAATAATACTTCTCATTTTAAAACGATATTAGAAAATACATAACATTTTTACATTCAAAATTTCGTATGTTGAACTTAACGTATACACATTAATAATATATTTTATTATTCTAAATGATTCAATTTTTTTATTAAATGATTTTTTGCCTATTTGATTTACCTGAATTTATCTTGCAAACTTGCTTTATATTGCGTATATGGAAGATAAAAATTCTATATATATATATTTTTTATAATCATTTATAATGATGAAGTAAACAGTTGGTTTGCAACAATAACATTTTGATTGATTACAAAAAAGTTTCTTTCCTAAAATCAGGCTTTTTTTTAAGAAAAAAAAATAAATAAACGAAGAATTTCGAGATACCCTTAAAATTTGTAAAGTATTATTTTTTTTTTATCATTTGCAAAATGATTGTATTTTTCTCTCTCTTTCCAATGTGTGAGAGAAGAGTGATCCCATTGTGGTAAAAATTAATAATGTCAAAAGTATCCCATAAACACGAGAACAGACTTGTATCTCTTAACGTAGGGGGTCAAATCTTTTTGATTCAATATTCTACGTTGGCAGATCTGAGGGAGAAAAAATTACTTAAGGTTAAATGGCCTCGAAAATCTCAAGTGAAAGATGGAATCGACAAATCGATGATCACGGGTAAGGCTTACATAGATCGAGATCCCTACACCTTTAAGATAATATTAGAATATCTTCGAACCGAATGGTTAAACCCTTATCATTTACAAAATAATTTGGCCGATTTTCAATGCCTATACACCGAGGCCAAGTTCTACGAGTTGGCAGATTTAGTCGATCAACTTACGGTGGCCAAGGAAAGGAGAACGGGTCTTTTTATAACTGATACATCATCCCCATTATCGAAACTCATAAATTTAGGGGCACCTCAGCAAGGCCAGGAATACGAGAAT